GTTTGTTTCTGTAGATCCCATTGTCAATTTCCTTTTCATGTTTGTGGAGCAAAAAAAGTGGTTTCTTAGTTTGGATTCAGATCTGTCCCCCACTTCACAGCCACTGCTTTTTATTTTTATTGCTTTATTAAATTTGTTTGCTGCCCATCTCCCCACAAGATTATTTTTCCTGTATCACTTGGACTTGGAATGAAGTGTTTGACTGAGACCAGAGCTTAGTTTAGAGTTGGATCTCAATATAAAGATGATCTTCTCAGTTGAAGACGACTTGTAAAGTGCCTTCTGGCATATTTTAGGCTTGACTCCAAACCAATAACTAATTTCTTTTAGTTTTGATTTTAAGTTGTACTGGATTCGTGTCTTTTATTTTTTTTTATTTGTTTAGAATTTTTGCTCACATTCTGCTTTTAAATTGTTTTTAATGTTTAAGTACTTTCTAATTTAGCCAGATAACTGTGATTATTAATTAGAACTAGGATGATGTAGCTAGCTTTATTATACAAATGGAAGGTTTGTGGCAACCCTGCATTGAGCAAGACTACCCATGCCAATTCCCCCTCCCCAAAAATGTGTGTGCAACGTGCTTTATTGCAATACTTGGCTTTATTGCAGTGATTTGCAACCGAACCTGCAATATCTCCCAGGGCCTATACCAACAATTTCACAACAGGCTCAAACACTGTTTTTTTTAATTATTATTATTAATTAAAAAATAACAGAAAAAGGAAAAAACAAGAAAATTACAATGCAAATGCATACATTCTCAAAGGAAAGAAATGTATAAAAATGCCTTGAGAAAAATGAAAAAAGAAGAAAATATAATGTAAATTCTTGGAGATGAAAATAAATTTAACAGTGAAATGCTGCCCTCTGTTGTTTATTTTGTTAATAAAGTACAGTAGATGTTTGTTTTATGTAGTTTTGTAGAAATATACATTAAAATGTAAAATATTAAAATATAGACTGGGTTAGTCTGTGGTATATGACTTGACTTCTGGTGCCTCTTGTTGCTTGATTCCTAATAGGCAGAATTTGTCTACCTCTTGAATATGTTATCAATTCTAAGGCTGGTTACTGTGTTTTGCTCTTTTGCTATATTTATGGTGTTCCTTGATTTTCATTACTAGAATTTGTAGATCATGTTCATTTTCAGCTGTCAGAGCAGTTAGCAGCATACTACAGGTTTATTCCTCCAGTTGTGAAATCATGTTAATTTTCTTTCAATGCGGCTTCCTTCAATAAAGTTTTAATAAATAAGGACAAAGTATACAGTCTTTCTCCTTTGCTGACATGGAACCCATTTGTTTCACCATCTTCTGTAGGTATTGTTGATTTTGTACGCTGTGTGTAGGTCTCTTGTAAAGACAGTGGGATTTTCTGGGACTTCCTTTTTCCTGAGGACATTTCTACAACTTCACATGGTTGTCATATGTGTCTTAATATGTGACTACTTTTTGGTATTTGTCTATGGAGATTCTCAGTCATCATGGTTGTCCCCAAGGAGTTTTTTCAAGAGGCAACCAGACTTTCTGGTTTTTCTTTGAAGACATTTTGCTTCTCATCCAAGAAGCTTTTTCAGCTCTGATTGGATGGTGGGGAATGGAATGATGTATACTCCTAGCAGACAGCTAGTCATTTGCATTCTTTTAGAGAGCTGTTGAGGCCACCTGGAGGTTTATCTGTGTCATCAGGGTATTTGTTGGCTCTCTCAGTTATCTCTTTTTGGTATTTGTTGGCTAAGTTATCTGACAACTATAAGTAATATTGTCTCAATAATATGCAAATATGTGATACCTCTATATCTAAACATTATTTTGCCAGCATGTAAAGTTAAGAATAGTCTTCACACTCTGTTAAATCTCTTCTTTGTATTGCTATTTAGATTGAACTCCTTCCAATCTTTTGGCCACTGTATCGTTCTCCAAATTTAAAAGCAAAGCACAGAATCTTTACTTTATATTTTATATTTCTGTAAAAATTCCATCAATTTCTTGTAGGCTTTCAGTTTGAGAATGACGGGAGTGCTGATCTAGAAGTACTTACAAATACGGAATGTCTTCTAAGGTATCTCAGATATTAACATCTCTAATGTACTCCTACCTTTATACTCCTACCTTTATCATCTCTGAATGATTTAATATCTATCCATTGATGTTCTTTAGCATACATATTCGAGGTTGAGCACCTTTTTACTGCAGAGACCTTTTGGAAAATTTTCCTCATTTCCCCCCCCCCCCATGCTTTTTCATCTTTGATAGCTGTTGAGATATCATAGCAGTACTGTTTCTTGTCTGTTCTAACGAGTCTCTGAAATTCTTTTTAAATTCCTTCCTGTGATCTTTGACTGTTTTTGGCTTTGGTTTCTCTTCATGACAATTTCCACTATTTGTTCTTATGTCCAATTTGGTTTTTCTATTCCTACGTCTTTAGCAGCCTCTTTTCATATTAATCTTAAGAACTTCCTTAAATTCATTCCACAGTTCCTCTGATTCCCTGTCAAGGAGGTTCAGGACTTCAAAACAATTTTTGATGTTCCCTTGAAAATGACAGGGATATATGTTCAAAATCATACCGTGGAAACTGGCTGACTTTCTTCTGCTTTACCTTGACTTAGAATTTGAACATGAGCAGTTTGTGAACACATCCCACATTCAGCCTTTGGCCACATCTTTGCTGTTATAACTGAATTATTCCACCTCCTTTTATCAATACTAATTTCTATGGACTCGTTTGGGTGATGTACATTTATAGAGCTGTTGGTTTAGTTGTTTGAAGACTCTGTTAGCCATGAAAATATCATTGTATTGGCAGAAACTGACATCATTCTTCTGCTTCGTTTGTTTCCTAGGCCAAACAAGACCAACTAGGGAATTAGGATTTGTTATATGAAGCATGTGATCTTTTGCTACAGCAATATCACTGGTTACTATTTGGTTTTCTTTCTGTTCTTTCTTTCTTTTCTTTCTCTCTTACAAGTCTTCCTGGGCTTCTTTTTAGTGTGCCAGCCCTCTTAGCCTTTACTTAATGCTATCACCATGAGTTTTCAGTGCCTGCATTCATAATTAGAAAGTTTTGTCAAGGACCATCAAGCTTCCTTTTTCTTTTTTCTTTTCCTAGTGGCATTTTTATTTAGGTGAGCAATTGGTATTTAAACTTGTGTATCTGCCCAAATGATTCTAATAGTAGGTTGTCTCTTTATTAATGTATTTTAGTTCTAATTCAGTTATGTTTAATTATGTGTAATTATAATTCTATTTTTCCTATTAGTTTTATTATTCAAAGCCTTGAGTTTTTCTAAAGAGGTAAAATATAAAAGCAATAAATAAACTGGTAATTTCTACTTAGGTTTGCATCCAGCTCATCCCCAATCATTTTCATTTATTCAGATCAGACGGAGCACACACTTAATTCAGGTAGCAAAAATTTAGCTTGCTGTTTATTAGGTATCAGCAGTTTATCAACAGTTAACTGGCAAAAGGAGCAAAAAATGGTTAAAGCAGAGAAAGAGACAGAAAGATCAACAATAGACAAAATAAAAAGGGCAGAGCACATAATATCAATAATTTACATTTCATATATCTATCAATATATCTATATTGAAAGGCACCAAACTTTAAAAAGCCACTGGGAGACTGCTGTGGTTAATTAGCATGAACAGTCTGAAAGGAAGTGGCCTTTGACTGTGTCAGATTTAATCCTTTTATGTACAGAAGAATTGCTGAAAAGAGATGGGAAGTAGGACATCAGATAATCCCTTTTCCATTCTGCACCATGAAGGTAACAATTTGGCGGATGGGAATGATGTTTCCAACACAAACTAGGAAAATCAGTGTATAAAAGGAAAAGAGAGTATGAGGCTAAGCATAGCTTCATATTTTTCAGCCACGTGATGACTGAACCAGATTAAAATATGAAATGTGTTTCAGTATTTAGATCCTGTTCTCATTAACGCTGTAATCTAAATAGAAAGCAGCTCACTAAAAAGGTTATATTTTCAAATTCAAACTCTGCTTGCATATTTAAATTCTTACATATATATAATTTCCTGATTATTCCTTGAAAATATACAATATATGAAGCAGAGAAGAGAAGGTGAGGTTTCTTAAGCAAATTTCCCTTCATATAGACATATCCGTGCACTATTTGTCTTCGGACAGCGCTGGCTCTTCGGCTTCGAAACAGAGATGAGCACTGCCCCCTAGAGTCCGAACAACTAGCACATATGTGCGAGGGGAACCTTTACCTTTTTATGCACTATTTGAGTAAAGTTTTGTATCTTGTTTTTGCCTTGACTATTAACCCTATAATAGTTACTGGATTTGCCAATTTAGTTATTTGTGTCTTGAAAACATCTGTAAAAGCTGACCTGGAACGAGACCTTTCTTTTTCCAGAAGACATTTGAAATGTAGAGTGTTTGCTAATGTTATTTCTATATCAACAATTTCTAATGTCTCCAAATCACTTTTACATGTAGTATGTTCACCTAGTACCTGTTTTCATTACTGACACTCTGCCTTTTCTCCTAAAACATATAATCAGTTAAGAATCTGATTCTTCTCAAAATCTTTTTTAGACAAAGACAATTTGTACTACAAAACTCTTTCTAGCTTAGTTCTGAACACTATATGTCTTAAAAACATAATCTGAATTTCACTTCTTTAGAAAGGATGAGACTTAGCTAAGGAAATTTTGATGTAATAAGTGTTGAAAAAAAATGGTAAGCAAACAAAACAAATCTGGATTGAAATTTTCTTCAATATCTATTGGTGTTTTTTCTATTATAAATACAAAATTTATTACTTCAAAAATGAAGTGAGACTTAAATCCACTTATACATTATCTTTTGTACATTTGCAACAGACAGTTACAACATGATCAGAACCTACGTCCAGGAAATTTATTGGTTAACAAAATAAGGGATGATTACACTTCTGTAATGTTAATAATTAAAGATAATAATTGTACTTCTAACTCTATCATCTTTGAATATCTTTTACAGTTGGTGAAACAAAAGCTGCAAATTTAATTCTGGAAGAGGAATCCACTGAAAACATCAAGACCAGCCCACCAGAATTAAATGACAAGTCAAATGAAGATGAGGTACAGAAAGACACAGACGATGCTAATAAACAGCTGGAATCAGAAGAAAAAGAAGATCAACCTAGTGTATCTCCATCAAATGATGTTGGATTTAAAAAGGTTTTTAAACTAGTTGGATTCAAATTTACAGTTAAGAAGGATAAAACAGAGAAAGCTGAACCTGTTCAGCTATTGGATGTAAAGCCAGAGGTTGCAGAAGGGTCAAGTGATGTGGCTGGAGACTATAAAGAATTCAAGACAGAAACAGTGGGAGAAGCCACAGAAAGTGAAATCACTGCCTCTGTAGAGAAGACTGAGGAAGAAACTCAGGCTGAGGAGATGGAACGAGAAACCTCCTCTGAGAAAGTAACAGAAAGCCCTGTTGACGCAGAAAGCAAAGAGGCAGAAATTAAAAACAATGGGATTAAATCTCCAGAGTCTCCGGTAAGCCCATTAAACAATGAAACTGCATCACCTCTAAGAAAGTTTTTTACTCAGAGTTGGGCTGGGTTTAGAAAAAGGACAAGCTTCAGAAAATCTAAAGAAGAAGTGCAATCTGAGAAAGAAAAACAAGAACAGGAAATGGAGAAAGATGTGACAACAGAGGTAATAATCGTTGAAGAAGAATTAGAAAAAGAAAAACTGACACCAGAAAAAGATGGGACAGAAGTTTCTTGCCAAGCCAGTGATGAAAAAATGGAAAGTGAGGAAGAGAGAAAAGAAGAAACAAAAATGGTCGAAGTTCCAACAGAAACTGATCTGGAAGAAGCTGCTATTCCCAGTGAGCAACTATCAGCAGAAGAGCCAGATAAAAATATAAATAAAGACATTTCTTTTGAAGCCAGTGATGAAAAAATAGAAGGTGAGAAAAAAAGGAAGGAAGAAACAAAAATGGTCGAAATTCCAACAGAAACTGATCTGAAAGAGGCTGCTACTCCCAGCGAGCAACCCTCAGCAGAAGAACTGCCTGAAAATATAAATAAAGACATTTCTTTTGAAGCCAATGATGAAAAAATGGAAAGCGAGAAAGAGAGGAAAGTCTCATCAGAAACCGATCTGAAAGAAGCTGCTACTCCCAGGGAGCAACCACCAGCAGAAGAACTGGCTGAAAATATAAAAGAAATGGATATAATCTTGGAAGGGGAGACTGACCTGAAGTCCAAGGAAAAATTGGAACAAGTGCAAAAAAGTCTAATGGGCATAGAGCGAAGTATTGTTGCATTGCATGAATCAAAAACAGAACTGCTACATGAAGTATTTGAAGAAAAAATAAACCAACTGGATTCACTGTCTCCAGTAGCAATAGAAAAGCCTGAGGAATCTTCTGAAATAATACAGGAAAAATCAGAACCAAAGGCTCCTCTGGCCACAGAGATTTTTGATGAAAAACCTAGTGAGATAAATATTGATGTTAGTGTTGTGACAGAAGAAGAACCCCAAATAACTAAAAAAGAGCAACTAGTTCTTGAACAATTAGTGGAAACAAACGATGACTTTCATAAAGAACAGCCCACCGTCGAACAGGTAAAAGTCACAGAAACAGTTCTTGAAATAGCGAACGAACACTTCATCCAAACTGATCGAAGCAGTCTTGATGCAGCAGCAGACAAACCTCCAGAAGGCATAATAACAAGTGAGGTAGAATTGCTGTCATCTCAAGAAAAAGCCAAGATGCAAGGCAGCCCTTTAAAAAAGCTTTTCACAGGTCCTGGCTTAAAGAAATTGTCAAGAAAGAAACGTAAAGGAAAGAAAGAAGCTAAACCAGAGGAAGCAGCAGAAGAAGCACAGCAGTTGTCTGATACTGCAGAAAGTCCAGATGACCCAAGGGGAGAGAGTTCTGCTTCTTCTCCTGAAGAAATAACAGAATCCATAGAAAAGTCCTCCGATGCTGCACAGATTCCTGAAGCTGAAGAAGGGTTTCCTTCAGATGCAGAGAAGAAAAGAGAAAGTGTTACACCTTGGGCATCTTTTAAAAAAATGGTGACTCCTAAGAAACGGGTTAGGAGACTTTCTGAAGGCGACAGAGAAGAAGAACTTGATAAGACAACTGAAAGTGCACCTAATGATGAACAGGAAGATATTAAAGAAAATGGTGAGGAACAAAAAATAGAAAAAAGTACAGATGAGCCCAGGAAAAAAGTTGATACTTCTGTATCATGGGAAGCTTTGATCTGTGTAGGCTCATCAAAGAGAAGAAGCAGAAAATCTTCATCTTCTGATGAAGAAACCGGACAAAGACTTGCTCAAGATGAACAAAAATTAGATGAGAGTGCACCAAATAAAGAAGCAGTACACGATACTATTTTTACTAACTCGCATGAAAGTGATCAAGGACAAGGAAGTTCTTCGCCAGAACAAGCAGGAAGCCCATCTGAAACAGAGGGAATTTCAACATGGGAATCTTTTAAAAGACTAGTAACTCCAAGAAGAAAATCTAAAACAAGGATGGAAGAGAAAAATGATGAACCCATCACAGTTTCAAGTTTAGAACATGCTACCTTAGATGGGGATACTGGAAAAGAAGAATCCTGGGCTTCATTTAAAAAATTAATGCCTGGTCGTAGGAAGAAAAAGTCTGATGGAATACCAGAACATGCTCCTGTTCTAGAAGCTGGAGAAGAAATGACAGGAACAAATGAAGAGGACTTTGATGTTCCAGCTGTGGTTCCTTTATCAGAGTATGATGCTGCTGAGCAAGAGAAAATTGAAGCTCAAAAAGCAGAGCAAGATGATATGGATAAGGAAATTCCAAGTCAAAATATAGAAAAGTCAGAAAGTACATCAATAACTCGGCAGGTCACTGAAGGATTAGTTCATGCAGTTGCTGTCTCAGTGCTAGAAGGTGAGAGAGCAATTATAAGTATTGAAGAAAGGTCCCCATCTTGGATACCAGCTGCTGTGACCACATCCACTGAATGTGTGAATGATGATGAGGAACAGTCTGAGCAGATTTTTGGAACTGGAATTGTTGAAGAAACGGCAGAGGTTACTAAACTTGTGCCACAAATGAGAAAGGATATTAGTGGTGATAGTATAATCGGCGACCTGGAGTTAACCTCAGAAGCAGTTACAGCTAGGGAAGAAGCTTCAATCATTGAAGAGACAACTGAAGTGTCTTGTCCTAAAGAAACAACTGAAATGTCTTGTGCTGAAGAGACAACCGAAATGATTTCAGCAGTTTCAAGGCTAACTGAGTCTCCTGATACTACAGAAATAGCTACACCAGTGCAGGAGATTGAAGAAAATGAGCAAGACCTGGAAGAATTAAATAAACAAACACAGGAAATGTTGCAAATTGTTGCTGAAAGAATTAAGTTGTCTGATGAAAAGGGGATTAGTGCGAGTCTGACAGAAGTATCCATTCAGCCATTGTCGGCTAAAGAAGAAACTGAGCAAAAGCTGATGACTTCAGAAGGAACCCCCTCTACTGAATTTCCAAAAGACGTTTGGCTTGAAACAGTAGAGTCTCGGGCTTACAAAATTGTGCAGATAATAATCCAGAATGCAATTGCCCAATTTCAGCAAGAATCCATGGTTCTTTCAAAGCAGGAGAGTGAAACTGCAATTCTGTACCCTGATCCTGATAAACTGGCATTTTATCAGCAAATAAATTCAGTGCTAGAAGAATCTGCAGGAAGATACACCAGAGAAGGTGCACTCCAGATGGGCGCATCTGGATCCCATCCAGAAATGGAGGTGCCAAAATCTTCATTTGATGAAGAAACTAAGGAAAAACTGATGACTCCAGAAGGAATTCCCTCTATTGAATTACCAAAAGAACTTCAACCTCAAACAATAGTGTCTCAGGCTTACAAAATTGTGCAGATGATAATCCAGAAAGCAGTTGCTCAGTTTCAACAAGAGTCCATGGCTCTTTTAAAGCAGAAGAGTGAAATGGCAGTTGTGTGTCCTGATCCGGACACAATGGCATTTTCAGAGAAAATAGATTCAGTGTTAGAAGAATCAGCAGGAAGATACACCAGAGAAGGTGCACTCCAGATGGGTGCATCTGGATCTCCTCCAGAAATGGAGCTGCCAAAATCTTCATCTGTTGAAGAAATTGAGCAAAAGGTGATGACTTCAGGAGGAGTCTTAACATCTACTGAATTTCCAAAAGATGTTCAGCCTGAAACAATAGAGTCTCAGGCTTACAAAATTGCGCAGATCATAATTGAGAATGCAGTTGGTCAACTACAACAAGAGTCTATGCCTCTTTTAAAGAAGAAGAGTGAGACTGCAGTTTTGTACCTTGATCTTGATAAAGTGGCATCTTCTGAGAAAATAGATTCAGTACTAGAAGAATCAGCAGGAAGATGCACCAGAGATGGTGCACGCCAGGTGGGTACATTTGGATCCCCTACAGAAATGGAGCTGCTACCATCTTCATCAGAAGAAACTGAGGAAAAGGTGATGGCTTCAGAAGGAATCTCAACATTTACTGACTTTCCAAAAGATGTTCAGCCTGAAACAACAGAGTCTCAGGCTTACAAAATTGCGCAGAAAATAATCCAGTATGCACTTGCCCAGTTTCAACATGAGTCTGTGGCTCTTTCAAAGCAGAAAAGAGAAACTGCAGTTCTGTATCCTGATCCTGATAAAGTGGCATTTTCAGAGAAAATAGGTTCAGTGCTAGAAGAATCAGCAGGAAGATGCACCAGAGAAAGTGTACTCCAGATAGGTTCATCAGGATCCCCTCCAGAAATGGAGTTGCCAACATCTTCACCTGTTGAAGAAGCTGAGCAAAAGGTGATAACTTTAGAAAGAATCCCCTCTACTGAATTTCCAAAAGATGTTCAGCCTGAAACAATCAAATCTCAGAGTTTAAAAGTGGCACAGGAAGTGAGTGCAGTTGCTCAATTTCAACAAGAGCCCATGGCTTTTTTAAAGCAGAAGAGTGAAACTGCAGTTCTGTATCCTGATTCTGATGCAGTGGAATTTTCAAAAGAGATAGATTCGGCGCTAGAAGAATCACTAGAGAAATGCACCAGAGACAGTGCACTCCAGATGAGTACATCTGGCTCCCCTCCAGAATTGGAGCTGCCAAAATCTTCATCAGAAGAAGAAACCGAGGAAAAGGTGATGATGACATCAGAAAGAATACCCTCTGCTGAATTTACAGAAGAATCACAAGGAAGATGCACCAGAGAAGATTCACTCCAGACTGGTACATGTGGATCCCCTCCAGAAATGGATCTGCCAATTTCTTCAGCTCAGGAAGAAGTTGAGCAAAAGGTAATGACTTCAGAAGGAGTCTCAACATCTACTGACTTTCCAAAAATTGTTCTGCCTGAAACCACAGAGTCTCAGGCTTACAAAATTGTGCAGATAATAATCCAGTATGCACTTGCCCAGTTTCAACCCGAGTCCGTGGCCCTTTTAAAGCAGAAAGGAGAAACTGCAGTTCTGTATCCTGATCCTGATAAAGTGGCATTTTCAGAGAAAATAGATTCAATGCTAGAAGAATCAGCAGAAAGGTGCACCAGAGAAAGTGTACTCCAGATAGGTTCATCTGGATTACATCCAGAAATGGAGTTGCCAACATCTTCAGCTGATGAAACTGAGGAAAATGGGATGACTTCAGAAGGAATCCCCGCTACTGAATTTCCAAAAGAGGTTCAACCTAAAACCACAGAGTCTCAGGCTTACAAAATTGCGCAGATAATAATCCAGAATGCAGTTGCTCAATTTCAACAAGAGTCCATAGCTCTTTCAAAGCAGAAGAGTGAAACTGCAGTTCTATGTCATGATTCTGATGCAGTGACATTTTCAGAGAAAATAGATTTGGCGCTAGAAGAACCACCAGGGAAATGCACCAGAGAAGATGCACTGTGGGCAGGTGCATCTGGATCCCGTCCAGAAATGGAGGTGCCAACCTCTTCACTTGATGAAGAAACAGAGGAAAAGGTGATGATGACTTCAGAAAGAATCTCCTCTGCTGAATTTCCAAAAAGTGTTGAATTTCCAAAAAGTGTTGAGTTTAAAGCAATAGAATCTCAGGCTTACAAAATTGTGCAGATAATAATCCAGAATGCAGTTGCTCAATTTCAACAAGAGTCCATGGCTCTTTCAAAGCAGAAATGTGATACTGTAGTTATGTACCCTGATCCTGATGCACTGGCATTTTCAAAAAAAATTGATTCAGTGCTAGAAGAAGCATCAGGAAGATGCACCAGAGAAAGGGCACTCCAAACAAGTACATCTGGATCCCCTTCAGAAATGGAGGTGCCAACATCTTCAGCTGATAAAGCAACTGAGGAAGAGGTGATGACTTCAGAAAGAATTCCCTTTACTGAATTTCGGAAAGATGTTCTGCCTGAAACAATAGAGTCTCGGGTTTATAAACTTGTGCAGATAATAATCCAGAATGCAATTGCTCAGTTTAAACAAGAGTCCATGGCTCTTTCAAAGCAGAAGAGTAAAACTGTAATTATGTATCCTGATCCTAATGAAATGGCATTTTCAGAGAAAATAGATTCAGTGCTAGAAGAATCAGAAGGAAAATACACCAGAGAAGGTGCACTCCAGATGGGTACATCTGGATCTCCTCCAGAAATGGAGCTGCCAAAATTTTCATCTGAAGAACAAACAGAGGAAAAGGTGATGCCTGCAGAAGGTATCCCCTCTACTGAATTTCCAGAAGAATCAGGAGGAAGATGCATCACAGAAGGTGCATTCCAGATGGGTACATCTGGATCCCCTCCAGAAATGGATCTGCCAAAATTTTCATCTGAAGAAGAAACTGAGGAAAAGATTATGACTTCAGAGGACATCCCCTGTACTGACTTTTCAGAAGAATCAGAAGGAAAATACACTAGAGAAGGTGCACTCCAGATGAGTACATCTGGATCTCCTCCAGAAATAGAGCTGCCAAAATCTTCATCAGAAGTAGAAACTGAGGAAAAGGTGATGATGACTTCAGAAGAAATACCCTCTGCTGAATTTCCAGAAGAATCAGAAGGAAGATGCACCGCAGAAGGAGCACTCCAGACAGGCTCATCTGGATCCCCTCCAGAAATGGAGCTGCCAAAATTTTCATCTGAAGAACAAACTGAGGGAAAGGTGATGACTTCAGAATACATCCCCTCTACTGAATTTCCAGAAGAATCAGAAGGAAAATGCACCAGAGAAGGTGCACTCCAAATGGGTGCATCTGGATCTCCTCCAGAAATGGAGCTGCCAAAATTTTCATCTGAAGAAGAAACACAGGAAAAGATGATGATGACTTCAGAATACATCCCCTCTGCTGAATTTCCAGAAAAATCAGAAGGAAAACGCACTAGAGAAGGTGCACTCCAAATGGGTGCATCTGGATCTCCTCCAGAAATGGAGCTACCAAAATTTTCATCTGAAGAAGAAACTGAGGAAAAGATGATGACTTCAGAGGGCATCCCCTGTACTGACTTTTCAGAAGAATCAGAAGGAAAATGCACTAGAGAAGGTGCACTCCAGATGAGTACATCTGGATCCCCTCCAGAAATAGAGCTGCCAAAATCTTCATCAGAAGTAGAAAGTGAGGAAAAGGTGATGATGACTTCAGAAGAAATACCCTCTGATGAATTTGTAGAAGAATCAGCAGAAAGATGCATCAGAGAAGATTCACTCCAGACAGGTACATCTCAATCACCTCCAGAAATGGAGCTGCATCCATCTTCATCTCAGGAAGAAGCTGAGCAAAAGGTGATGACTCCAGAACGAGTCCCGACCTCTACTGAATTTCCAAAATATGTTCAGCCTGACACAGCCATTTCTCCTTTAAAGCAGAAGAGTGAACTCTGTCTAACGGGTTTAAATGAATTCGGAATTCAGGAAGTTTTACAAGTTAGTCAGCAAGTTTCTCTGGCAGAAGAGAAAAATCATGAAATTCAGCCAACAACTATAAATTCAGAGACAGAAGAAGCCACTGAAGTAGCGAAAGAAATGCCTTCATGTTCTATAGTATTTGAAGATAGAGAAAAATGGAATTTCAGAAAGACAGATGCTGATCTTGAAACTCTGAAAGAGAATGTAAATGAAATGGAAAGTAAGAAATATGATTCAAAGCCTCAATTAAAAGCGGATGTAGTTGTTTCAACAGAGACTCAAAACATCATGCTAGGAAGTATTGTCTCAGGAGATCATCCAGTAGGATCTCTTGAAACAGAACATTCAACAATAAAAGATTTAGAAATTGGGCTTATAGATGAAAACCAAGAAAAGTTAATAGAACATCAGACTCAGAGGAAGAGAAAAGAAGATTACATCCAATCAACAGAATTTCCTGAGATGCCTAAAGAAGAAGACACTACATTTGGTGACAGTCCTCAGCTTCAGACAAAACTCGGCAAATTCTGAGGTTTTATGTAAGTGTTTAAAATAATTCATCTGCAGTAGTTTAAATAAGAAATAATTAGATATTTTCAGATTTTATCAACAAAATACAATATATTTATATACTTCTGATTTTGAAAACAATACATAATTGCTAAATAATTTATACTAAAAAAACCTGATTTAAAATGGGAAAGAAATCAATGCATAAGATAGTATTTTGGATTTCTGCTTGAGGGACTTGTTTTAATTTCAGTAAATAAGATTTGCCACAGAGTTAGTTGAGACTTCAGCATAGTTTTTCCCAACTTGTTCTCCAAATGTGTTGCATGCCGTTGCTTCACCTTCCCTGCTGCTGTAACTAAAGGCCTTCCAGGCTAAGAAATTGTATTAGATGTTTTCAACTTGCTGTGGTTATCTGATTTCCACAACTCTACTTTATTTTTCTAGTGTGTTTTCTTTACAGCAGTCATGTGATGTTAACATCATCTGCACCTGCAATCTTAAAAATTTTCAAGATTCTTACAGCAATTGTGACTTCTTTTTCATCAAATAATATCACATTTATACTTGGATCTCCAGGTGCCTCCATTGCATTTTGTTTACTTCCCTGCCTTATTTCCATTCATCCATTGGTGTCACCTGACATTCATAATTTTGTACTATACATTTCATTCCAAGTTGCAATCTAAATATTGACCATCACCTATCAAAGTTTTGGCCATTGGAGATTTTCACATTACAGTTTCTTAGATGTTAGTAAGTTACAGAATGTGTGGACTAGGTTATCTTACTGGCAAGAGTCCCAATTACAGCATTCTCTTCAAACATGTGAAATTAAGCACACATGTAACGAGAATGCTTGAATCAGAAACATGGAAGTGGACTATATGAATTGATCCCATCTAACAGTAGAAGACGAGCAGGAGGAAAGGAATGGTTGAGAAACAGATGCACCTTTCATCTGTGAGACTTTTTAAAATATGTATTCATCTTTTTAAAATGTAAGCTTTTAGGTTATTTTGTTGTTACTCAGGGTAATTAGGCACTTCAATCCCAGTGAACTCTAAAAGATTTACACTTGAGATATGTATTAAAGATTAGAACAATCCATAACACATTATTTATAATCATTCACCTTGTTGCACTGAGTAAATGCTATCTCAATTCAATCACAAACGTTTTGTCATAAAATCTTCCAAGTCTCCAAACCTCTTCCCTCTCCAAACCATTTAATGTTTTAATGTTGATAACTAACACTCTCAACTGCATCCAGAAGACCACAGGCAAACAGTGCAGCTCTCTTGAATAGCGGTGTTACCTGGGCAAAATGGGGAATAACTATTTTTGTATAGTCATACATAAATTTTCTGTCCCTTGTCTGACCAAGCTTTCCATCTCCAATTTATGTGCATCTGGTAGCTTTGAAGAGTACTGCTAGACAGTAATTGGCAAAAGTACAATTAATCATATCCTTATCTTTAATATATTGTGATTTGCTATTGATGTAAATTACTAGTTAAGTTGTTCTGATTGTAAGGCATTCTTGATTTTTTGTTTTTGTTTCAACAGTTCTGTTGAAGACTGCTTCTTACATTTGGAGGGACCAGACCCAAAAAAGGTAGCAGAAAAGGATGGATTCTGCTTAAACTGGCTGAAGACCAATGATTTTGTTGTGAGAACATGTCCATGCTTTCAGATGTTTTTCTGAGGAAGTCACCTGACAATCCTGAGCTACCATCAGGAGCTTGAGCCACCTCCTTTAGTTTTTGATTGTGAATACTTCCTTTCACAATATTCTTTTACCGTTATTTTTGTTGTTGATAAAGAGATTGTGGTGGGATATTGAATAGGGGCAGGAAGTATTTCTGCTCAAATGATGTCAGTCTCTTAATCTGGAAAGAAAATTGGCATCTTCTGAGATTCCCTTTTTACCAATGCTTCTCAAACTGGATTGTAATTCTTTGTGTATTTATGTTTCCTCTTCTTTCTATGTAAAAGATTTAAAGAAAATTATTTCACTTGTTTGGGCCAAGAGGTATTACGAATGACCCATCACTAACCATAGATGGTTCCAACCAACTTAACATTGGTTTCCCATTTGCTTGGAGGAATGTGAGAATAAATGTTTTATGATATATTTGCTATTGATTTCAGAATGGTCATTGCCAAACAATACAACTTCTCTTGATCTGTTAGTAAATTGTAAATCTAATTCCTACTTCATGAATAGTGAGATACATTATGATTTCTTTGAAGTAATTTAAATGAGGATTTGGCTTACATTTATATTTGCATTCATATTCAGAATAAATGCATTATAAGATGATTTAGGATGCCTGGAATAAATACACTCAATTTTGTTCAATGCAACTCATAATATGAGGTCATAAGAAGTTGCACGTACAAAATGGCCAGGCTTCAAATGCTCAGCAACTGAATAATCATTAAATAATATTCTTTCAGAATTTGATCTTCTAATCACCGAGTTGTATAGCCAGTCAAATTAAATTGCATTTTGTAGTCTTCATATCCATCAAAATGAGCTTTTTCCAAGCCCCAGGAGGCACATTGTCCTACCTGTATTATATTTCATTTGAAATGTATCCAGGAAACTAAATGTTAAGAGCTGCCCAATGAGGAATAAAACAGAAAGATCACTGATATGACTGCACCATCTAGTGGTCACTATACACACTTTATAACTTAGGATAACTTTTGGCTAATAATACTACTTTTATTCAGCTAAAACAGTATGGCAAGTGTTTCATACAGTTACTTCTACATTATATCTGGAATAGCTTGGCTATAAAAGGCAAATATGACAAATAATAATATGCAATCCTGTACATGCATTGTGACATTGCAGTGGGCTGTTTTGTGCAAGTTAATAGTGAGAGATGTTACATCTTTTGTACAAAAAGAAAAATCCACTTAGACTGTGGTAAGTAGGTATCTCTGCTTTTTTAAAAGAAAAGTCATATACTGGATCTGTTGATATTAAGATATAAGCAATTTCTTTTTAAATGATAAATGGTTGTTTCTTTTAGCATGTTTAATTCAAACTTTATGTTTTGGTGATTATCTTCAGCGATACAAAACCCAGTGGAATCCAGGTACCCAAAGATCAGTCAGTCATTTTGTTGTAAGGGAATCCTGTGCACCTTTTTCAGTTTTAAATGCATCAGTGACGGAAGACACAAGGGACAATAAGCCCTGCCTGCTCATCAGAAACTATTAAGTGGTGCCAAAGGGAAGAAGAGGCCATATCAGCAGTGAGTAGTTACTTCCTGGCCAGAATGGTGATCATGAACCTACCAAATAGTATCCCTCTAGAAATTCAGTTTGATCTCTTTGTTTTCACATTTCTGTTTTGAGTGATTTTTTTTCCATCACATTGACCTCATCAAAATATTTAAAAATTGTCAGTCTATTCAAGTATGTAACAACAAAAAGTAGCTTGTTCATTCCAATATGTGTGCACTTTTCAAATCTAAACAATGAAAACTTGCATATGCTATCATATGCTTTCTTAGACATGAGAGAAGAGCATAATGAAACAATTTGTTCACTCCAGTTGAGTGGTATTTCAAAAAGTTAATTTTATCTTTCAAAATCAATGAATAATTAACCTTCAGGCTCCTTAGAATATTTTTTTTCTGAAAGTTAATAGTATAAACTACACAAATGTATTTACTTCCAGACCTCTGAATTATTGTTCTACAATTCCTTAGTGTGATTGAATAGGTAAGAAAATTTAATTTACTTGAAGATGGAAACAAGGAGGGCTTGTGGCTCTCTTAATTAGAATTAAAATGTTCAATAATAAGTGTCCCAAATTAATTAGCATATACAGTACTTTATTATAACATCATTTCCCCCAGCTACAAGTTTTGTTCTGGGTGCAAGACACTAGCTTTCTCACTTTCATTAGTTCTTTTATTAAATAAAACCTTGTGACATTTCATAAAGTTAATTTTATCTTTGAAAAGCCAATGGACAAGTTATATGTTTGTTTGTTTGTTTGTTTTATTAAACTTATATACCGCCCTACTCCCAAAGGACTCAGGGAGGTGAACAGGCACAAAATAAAATACATAAATACAAAAGTTAGAAACATAATTAAAACCAAATTAAATAATTTAGCCCAAGACAATTAAAAATCCCAATAATTTAAAACAAATTAAAATTCCAATTTAAAAATTTAAAAGAAAGGGGAGAAAATTAGGCCAGGCCGGCTTGCTGGAATAGGAGGGTCTTAAGAGCACGGCGGAAAGTGCGCAGATCCGGGATCCTCCGTATCTCCGGATAACTATATAACCTATAGTTCCTTAGAACATTTCTTTTTTGAAGTTGATAGTATAGATTTCACAAATGTATTTATTATTAAGAAATATAGTTCTATTTAATTTCAATAAAAAATAAAATATAAAACTACAGTCCCTACATACAAGTCACTTACTATTTAGCATTTTTTCTTCAAGCAAATGTGTGGATTTTTCTTAGGGGAGCAAGGGTCCTCTATGTCATCTAAAAGAAGAGGCTGAGCCAACAATGTGACTCATCTGCCATTCCTGTGTTGTGGTATCTTTTTCAATAGATCTGCTGAAATTACAGTTTAAGACCTGATCTATCCCTTACCCCTATTTCTGGAATTCACTCTTGCCTGATCAAGTTTCTTTATGCGATCAACTTGATTCGGAAATGTTTATTATGTACAGCCCACTTCAAAATAAGATTTTAGTGCTACTTTAATTTTAACAGTTAATGGGAAACCAATTATTTAAGCAAACTATAATCTGTTTATGGAAAGCCATATTGTGAAAGCTGCAGCAAGTGAAATAATAATACAAAATACAGTGGTGGCATGACCTATGTAATCCTGGACTTTATATCTCCCTTTATAGCTCTAAGATTGTTAATAGTTGTGTAAAGTTAAACATTTAAATAAAATCTGGTAATAATGTAAATAGTTACTGACTAGAAGTTGAGGAACAAGGGCTTAATTTGGGAACTTTTTTTTTTAAAGATATTATGACCTTTCTAAGCAATGTCAAGGACATAAATCATCTAACCAGTCATTCTTCTTGCAACTGATGGTCTCAAAACAAAAAACAAGGCACCCAAAGAATTTTTGTCTTGGTGCAGGGAGCATGTCTCCATTCCCAGATACTGCTTTGATACAGTGTGTTGCTTTGGCCTCAAAAATACTTCAGACAACCTGCAAATCTTAGTTTGTGCCTCAACTCCAAGCTTTTGCAGTTTCTTCTAATTGATTGTATTGGATTATATTTTGACTTTCTATGTTGTTTTTAAGGTAGATTTTCATGGATTAAATAAAATTCAAATTCATTCTTGTGTTGTGATTTCTTGTGTGTGTAATCTCTATATAATTGTAGTACTGGCATCTGTGCTTAAGCAGAAGGGTTTGGGATGCCCTTAGAGCAAGGCTGTCAAACTCCGGGCCTGTGGGCCGGATGTGTCACGTGCTGGCCATGCCCATGCCCGGTTTAGTGAAGGGAAAAAAAGTCTTGATATGTCATGTGACGCTGCTGTGACATGAGATTAACACCCCTGCCTTAGAGCTTTAATTGGGGAAATAGTTTTTATTTTATATTTTTAAAAAAGGAGGTGATCATAGAACCACACCATTACTCATGTCAGCATACACCAGTTGGTGTCTTAACAGTCTAGCAAGGAGATCTGGAGAACTATTTAAAGCCTCCCAAGACCTCTGCCACCTCCTGAGGCACTCTGTGCTCTGCTCCTTGCCTCTTGGGTTCCCTGAAGGCCTCGGGCTGCTCCCAATGGAGCCTACAGCCAGGCAGCAGAAGCTACCAGTGTGCAGGGGCTGTTACAGTTTGTAGTCCTAGAACTGTTTCCCATTTAGCCACCCAAGCCAGGCAGCAGAAGCTGCTAGTGTGAGGGGGACTGTTATAGTAAGGTGACCAGACGTCCCGCTTTTGGCGGGACAGTCCCGATTTTTAGCAATTTGTCCCGCGTCCCGCGGCGTTTTAAAAAGGTCCCGATTTTTGGAAAGAATGCAGGACAAGCTAGGGAACGGCGGGAGAACGGGAAGGGAATATACGGTTTTCACTCACCTGCCTCTGTTGGATCGCTGGTCCCCGTTCGCTTACCCCGCCCACTCCCAATCTATTGCTGAGTCCCAGCTGATGGCTAGAGGGAAAAAAAACTGTTTAAATTCTTGCCACGGGGCTTCAAAGGGCCGCCCTACAGCTGATCAGTGTTAAAAGAAAACAAATGAGTAGACGGGTGCCTGCAAAAATAGAAAAAACAGCCCCTTTCAGCTTCAGCATAGGTTAATTACCATAGGTTGATTAGTTCAGCCTCCCGACTCTCAGCTGATTTGCTCTCAGCGGTTTTGCTGAGGGCTCTGTTGCTAGCTAGCTGCAGAGGTAAATTGCTGGAGCAAATGTTTTTTTTCTCTAGCTATGCTGAAAAAGCAAAACTGAAAGTAAAGCAGGGTCTTTGCTGCAACCTGACAAAATGAGGCAGAGAGAGATTTCTTTTTCTTTTTCCTCACAAAAAAGGTAGGTGCAAAACTGCAAACAATGGGGAATTTAGGGCAAAAGAGGAGGTTCAGGATTTTAAAACACAAAAGGAAAAAAGCTCTATTTAACTAGGGAATTGTAATAATTGAGATACTATTCATTGTATATTGTGTTGAAAGCAGAAATGGTTAAGTTGTGGTTTGGAGGAATATATGGGGGAAATTATTTGGTTTATTATTATTGATAAATATAATTAATTTGTAAGAAATTGGATTGCATGGAAATAATTGGAATATTCATGTTCATATTGATTAATATACAAAAAAGATAGTTATATAACTAATTGATTTATATTAAAATGTTGAATTTGTATTAAACAACTGTATTACATAATTACATAATTAACCAATGTGAGGATGGATATAAAAATAGATGACAATGGGAAGGGGTATAATATAGAAGGGAAAAATTGAATTTGATTAAGATTAGAGATGAGGATGAAGGGTAATATTGGTTTTTTAAAAAAATAGATGAGGAATAAATATGGCAAAAAGGAAATATAGAAATTGTAAATTTAATTGAAATGACTAAACACTGTTTAAATTTGTGAACCGGCCAAATACTCTGTTCGAAGAAAATACATTGTATGTTTGTATGTGTGTTTCTAATTATTGCTATTTATTGCTATTTGTTCTCTTTTATTCTTTAAAGTTTAACAATTCATTCTTTATTTTAATATCTTAATATTTGTTTGGGGTTGGTTTTCTTCCCTTTCATTTTTTTTATTGTACAGCAATCTTTCTCCTCAAACCTACCACCTCTCTCTTTTCTTTCCTTACTTTCTCTTCCCCCTCTTCTTCTTCTCCTCCCTACTTCCTCTTCCTTTCTCCTTCTCCTCCTCTCTTCCTCCCTCTCTTACCCTCACTCCTACTCTAATTTCCCTTCCCTTCCTTCATCCCTTTCTCTATTGCTGTATCCTTTTATGCATATGGACTACTCAGAGGGCTGAAAAAGTTATTTTTGACTGGTCCTCGCACTTTTGACCAGTCCTCGAACTTACGACTGTCCTCACATTTTACGTTTTTGCCCTATCTTGTCACCATGGTAAAGAGAAGCAGTTGTGAAATGAGTGACACGGTTGTTAAGAATGCTACAATGGGCATAAATGATGACCAGTCATAAGTGCGAAGACCGGTCAAAAGTGCGAGGACCTGTCAGAAATCACTTTTTTAAGCCCTCTGGGTAGTCTCCCCCCCCCCCCCCGGTCAATGGTGTCCCTCTTTACCAATGTTAAAATCTGGTCACCTTATTTTATAGGCCTCAGCTTGCTTCCCATCCAGTCACCTAAGGGACTTGCAAGACTTGACCTGTTCCTCAGCCAGCTCAAGGACCAAGCAGTATTCAATTTACCTTTTTATTTTTGCACAGGCACCTGGCCAATATGATGCAAGACTTAGCTTTTTTACAAGCAGGCCACTGCTATAGGATGATACGATGTGAGGCTCAGTTTTCCTATAGAAGCCACCTCATGGCAACCTTGTGCTATTCTGCAAGCAGGTTACTATTCTTGCGAGTCTCTGAGGGGGGTAAGGTCCACTTTTTAAGAAACCTCCACAAATAAAACCACCTTAAAAACAGAGCCTCCCACAGTCTTGCTAGAATAGTACTTCTTGCTTGCCAAAGGAATGGTACTTATGGCCAGTTTCTGGCAAGGATATAATTGTTCTTTAATATTTATAAAAAGACACTTTCTTTTTTAAATCACAAAAATATCACTTCTAAACATGTTTATCCAAGTCCTATTTTATATTTAAAGTGGTTTCATTTTTCACAGTTAAGATAAAACTTGCTTCTTATGTAGCAATATTGTTGTATTAAATAGACTGTCATGAGAAAAATGGTTAAATTAATTCACTATTTGAACACACAATCCCATGTTCCTTACTTGGGTTTTGTAAATAACTGTAACTTAACCTGATCTTGGAAATAACATAGAGAATCCATTCCTTATGTTATTTAGAAAATTAAGAAAAAAAGCGTTTATCCTGGTACAAGTGAAGGTTTGAAACCTTTGTCAATTAATTCTGTTGATTTTATAACAATTTTATAACAAAGAGAATCTCACAAATTACACTGTAGAATTTATAATGGGTGTATAAATTTGTCCTTCGGTTTAAGGTTAAGAGATTATTCTGTCTTTAAAAATTAAGCTAATAAATTTTATCTTAGCGGGATCAGTAGATATATATCCACATACCCACTTTATTGTGGATATATCCTATTGATCAGGTTCTATTGGTATCACTAGATGTAATTTAGAACTACAGCTTTATCTTCCCAAAATATACTCTAAACTTTACACATCAAATGATGACAAGGACATATACAATTACTTCCCAAAACATGTATCCAATTTATTAATTAAAATGTTGGAAATGTTTACAGTCCCATCTATGCGTTACTTTGTATTATAGCAAAACTGCATAAAATACACCAGTATTTAACATTGTGGATAACTAGCATTTTAAGGACCAAATAATTTTCAGGGTTGGGCTACAAATCTTTTTTCCTTTTCACAAGCCTCACAGAATAGAATAATAGGTCTATTTTACACACTATTTTAGCCTATGTCTGGATTCAACTACTGTCCTCTCAACACAGTTTAATAATAATGAGGGAATGACAGTTTTCTTTGTAACGGAGTTTGCAGAGACCTCCTGGGTTGGTTCTTTCCCGAGCAGCTGAAGTTAAAGCGCCGAAGAGCGCAGCTGCCTGGACGACTCTATTATTGCTAGCGCCTATTTCTCTTTCTGGGTTGAAAAGCGTCGCGTCGCCCCCTCCCCCCCCCCACCCTCCGCTCTTTTAGCCCGAGGGGTTGGAGAAACGGACGCCGGAGAGAAGGGGGGGGCGAAACATGGGAGCCAGGCGCTCTACGGAACCGCGGAGCCCGCAGGATGAGACCACCACAGCGGGAGATTCCCAGCCCGGGAGGGCGGACGCCAACGGAAACCGCGCCCGAGGCTGGAGAGCCGGAGGACTCCTCCAAGGCACGAGAGTCCTCCCCCCCCCGCCACCCCGCCGTCTCGTGAGAGGAGGGGTGGGGCATGGCCGCCGCGGAGGCGGTTAGTGGGCTCTCCTGAGGCAGGGCGCTGCGTAGTCGGCGCCTCCGCACTAATAAACTCTTTTCTACCTTTTGTCTGTCAGAAGAAGCCCTCCCCGCTCCCGTTCAGGAGTAGGAATAGGAGTTTTAGTCGGACTCCTCGGGAGTTGCGGCCTGTCCGGGTCTCGCCTCATGCCTTGTTTCCTAGGCGTCCTGTACCTGTCTGGGTTTTTTCGCATCTTTTATTTATTTTAATTTATTTTATTAAATTTCTATACCGCCCTTCTCCCGAAGGACTCAGAGCGGTGTACAGCCAGAAATAAAACGATGACAGTAGAAAAATTAAAAACAAGTTAAAAACAATTAAATCAATTGGCCGAAAATTCTAATAAAACAACTCATTAAAATAGTAAAAATATTATTATTATTTAGGCCAGTCCTGGCCTAATCTTCCTCTTCTGCGCTCCTCCACTTGCACTTCTGGGAGAAGGAGTGAGGGCAGCCCCCCCCACACACACACACAACGAGGCAGCATACAAATACTACACACACAAAATCCCATAGCACACGCTGCTGGAGAAAGATTCCCTGAGGATGGGCTCCAACACCAGTCCAAAAGTTCAGAAGACAACCTCCAGCCTCGGTCAACATGCTTTCTCTGGCTGGTGGTGAAAGTGGTGATTGCTTTTAACCATCAATTTTTATTTTATCCAAGAAAGGGTTAAAATGCAAAACTCCCAAGACATAAAAAAATAACAAATGAAACAATCAAGACATTATGCGTGGTTTTTATTTTATTCAAGAAAAGGTTAAAATGCAAAACTCCAAGACATAAAAAATAACAAAAAAATAAAACAATCAAGACATTATGCACCTTAATTCCAGGCTCATTTAACAGTAGTAAGGTAACGACTGCCCATAATGGAAAAGCTGACCCTCTGATAGACAGGCAGAAGGTATTTAGAGGAAGTGTCACATAAAATTCAATATATTATAGTACTCAAAAATTGAGATATGGTGTCTGGTGGTTTTAATCTTTATAATCTGATCTGATTAGATTATTGTAACTAGTTAGTTACAATTGTAGTAACTAGTTGTATCAAGAGGAAACAGAAAACAAGACATTAAAAAAAAGGTGTATTAAAAAAAGACCAACACAATATGCACATATTATCCTCCCCTGGTTCCAATGTCATAATAATGTACTCATTCCAATAGACAGTTCATTTTAGAATTAATCTGTTTTCATACTTCATTTAATAAGTTTTTAAAACATGTTACCACATATACAGAATTTTGTCCAAATTGTAAAATTGATTTGGAAGCATCTGCTTTGAAAAACAGAGATAGAAGTGCAATCCAGTCACCTGCCACAGAGGTACATTTTATGATTTCCAAACTGTAAAAGACATTCTAAAATATATTATCTTTCTGCTAAATATGGTAATTAAAATATTGTTATGTACTGACTGACTGTTATTTTTCCTCTACTTTTTCCTTCTTGTATTTCATTTCTCAATGTAGATTTTACATTAAAATAGACAGATATCCAGCATTAATGAAATTACCAAAGAGCATATGGAGCTCAACCACAAACCAGAAATGCCAAAAAAAGCAGGCAATTTGTACAGAAGAAGGTAAGGAGATGTTATATGGCTACAGGAAAGATTCTTTGGAATTCAGAAAAGAGAAAAGAAAGTTGAGAGTTCTGATCTTTTGATAATACAAGATTGATTTTTGAGGAATGTGATTTTTGGGGGCAATAGTCCAGAAAATGCTGCATAGGTTTGTTCAATTCAAATCTTAAGGCCTGTAGAGATTTAATTTTCTAAATTAGAATAAGTTTAGAGTAATTTATGGCATTGTAGTTGTTACTGAGTTTTAGTAACTCCATTCACCTGTCACTGTGGCCCATGGCTAAGGTTTATTGGACTTGTGGCCCAGCAACACTAGACTTGGAATATAACTGGAATTTATACAAAAAAATTGCATACCATTTCCAGAATATTAATAATGTGTTCAATAAGTAGGCATTCAAAAATTGTATATCAAACCACAATTTGAGTGCTTTTGGACAACTACACAATGAGTTAATGTGAGCCATGCCACTGGCTTGCTTCTACATTTTACAACTTCACAATCTCATTATCCAAATAAAATAGAGCCCATTCCTCACACTAGGACAGTGCATTCTTTGAAAAGACCCTTGTGCAATCACCTTTATGTTGTTGTTAAACCACACCATCTTTTTTACATATAAAGTCTGAAAAGAAACATTTCAATTCCTTTAAGAATTATATCATGAATTGATCTTACTTGCACAACTTCTGAAGCACTTATTTTGAATCATTTTTGAAATGTGGATAAGAATAACATAAGAATAAGAATAGCTTGCATTAAAATTCATGGAAATTATCATTAAAATATATTCTTCTTAAAATTTGGAATAAGGATGAAAAATTGCTACATACATACATATAAAGTTCCATTACTGACACTCTGCCTTTTTTCCTAAAACATATAATCAGTTAAAAAGATGCTTATCAAAATCTTTTAAAAATAAAGACAATTTTGTACTACAAAACTCTTTCTAGCTTAGTTCTGAGTACTATAAGTCTTAAAAATATAATATGAACTTTATTTTTTTAGAAAGCATGAGACTTAGCTAAGGAAATTATGAGGTAATAAGCATTCAAGAAAAAAATGGTAAGCAAGAAAACAAACCTGGATTGAAATTTTCTTAGATATTAATGTCTATTGCTGTTTTTCCTATTATAAATACAAAATTTATCACTTCAAAAATGAAGTGAGACTTAAATCCACTTATACTCATTAACTTTAGTACATTTGCAACAGATAGTTGCAACATGATTGGAACCTATATCCAGGAAATTTATAGGTGTTAACATACTAAGGGATGGCTGAATTTCTTCAATGTAATTAATTAATTCATTAATTAACTGTAATGGCACATCTAAATTTTTATCATTTTTGAATATCTTTTACAGTTGGTGAAACAAAAGCTGCAAATTTAATTCTGGAAGAGGAATCTACTGAAAAAATCAAGACCAGCCCACCAGAATTAAATAACAAGTCAAATGAAGATGAGGTACAGAAAAACACAGAAGATGCTAATAAACAGCTGGAATCAGAAGAAAAAGATCAACCTAGTGTATCTCCATCAAATGATGGATTTAAAAAGGTTTTAAAATTAGTTGGATTTAAATTTACAATTAAAAAGGATAAAACAGAGAAACTGAACCTGTTCACCTACTAGATGAGGTCACAGAGGTCACAGAAGGGTCAGGTGATGTGGCTGGAGACTATAAACTATTCAAGACAGAGACAGTGGGAGAAGCAACACGAAGTGAAATTACTGCTTCTATAGAGAAAACTGAGGAAGAAACTCAGGCTGAGGAGATGGAATGAGAAACCTCCTCTGAGAAAGGAAAGGAAAACCCTGTTTAAACAGAAAGCAAAGAGGCAGAAATTAAAAACAGTGGGATTAACTCTCCAAAATCTCCAGTAAACCCATCAACTGCTGAAGCTGCATTACTTCTAAGAAAGTTTTTTACTCAGAGTTGGGCTGGGTTTAGAAAAAGGATAAGCTTCAGAAAACATAAGAACAATGTCAGAAAGAAAAACAAGAATAACAAATAGAGAAAGGTGTGACAACAGTAGAAATAATTGTTGAAAAAGAATTAGAAAAAGAAAAACTGACGCCAGAAAAAGATGGGACAGGAGATATTAAAGGAAATGATGAGGAACGAAAAACAGAAGAAAGTTCAGATGAGCCCAAGAAAAATGTTGATACTTGTGTATCATGGGAAACTTTAATCTATGTGGGCTCATCAAAGAGAAGCAGAAAAACTTAATTTTCTGATGAAGAAGCCAGATGAAGACTTGCTCAAAATGAATAAAAATCAAATGATGTGTAGCAAATACTGAAGCAGTACCAGAGGCGGTATTCAGCCAGTAATAACGAACTGGTAACGATTATACGCAGTTCGGCAAACTGGCAAATGCCACCACTGGCTGGCCCCACTCCGCCTCTTCCACTCCTTTTTGCACCTTGCCTGCCTAGAGTCACGCCCTTGGCATAGCTGCTGCTGCTCTCTGGTTCCCTCGCTTGCCTTGACCACACCGCCCAACTAATCTCTGCCTGGTGAGTCTTCCTTCTCTTCTCCCCAGCTAGCTCCTCCATGGGCCAGCCATGCTTGCCTGCCTTCCCTGTGGCCTTCCCGGCAGTCCCTGTGTCCAGGCCCACTTGCTTGCCTTCCCTACTCCCTTCCACGTGGCCCGTGTGTGAGGGAAGGAAGCCGCTTCTTTTCTTTGGCTGCTGTTCGCCTTTCCCTCCTGCTGGCAGCTCCCTTTCTCATTTCCCTATTGAGTGCAGCGCCCAGGATCCTCTTTGATAACGTGCATGCCTAAGGTCTCCCCCCTTGCAGCCTGGAGCTGTGACGAAGGAGAGGAAAACATCGGGAGAGGCTTGGGGCTGAGAAAAACAAGCATTGCAAAAAAGAGAGAGTTTTAGTTAGTTTGCAGCTTACCATCACAGAAGTTTGAGTGCGTGTGTGTGTTGAATGATGTGAGTGATGTCAAGTTGGCCACGCCCACCCAATCACATGATCATCCAGTCACATGACCACCCAGCCACGCCCACAGAACTGGTTGTTAGAAAATTTGAATCCCAACACTGAACAGTACATTATATCATCTTTACCAGCTCACTGAAGAAACAATGTTGTGACTGAGGCCCAAGTAGTGATTACCAAACACAATTCAGTCCTCAACAAACTTATTTTTTTAAAACAGCTGAGAATTAATTCATTCTCAGCTTAGTCCAAAACAAAATTCTTAATAACCAGTCCATCGGCCTTATCACCAACCTTTGATGTCTTTGGCAACTTGCCAAAGGATTTTCTTGGCAAAACCCCCACAAAGTTCAAGAGACGCTGACAAGAAGCACGGGAATCAACGTTGCTTTTCTACAAAGAACCCCACGGTTCGTTGCTGCTCTTTTAAGCCTTATGGGAATGGCCAATCATCTTCTGGCCTTACTCCCGAGTTGTCCTTTTTTCTTCAGCTGCTCTTGCCTTCTGGCAGCTCTTCACATGCGTGCACTAGGAACAGGCTCCTCCTGTTCCTCTGCCTCTCTGCTTTCCACCTCTGGAGGTTTCTGAGTCCGCTCATCACTCCCAGATGGCCCTGGCCCCATCTCTGCCTCTGACGCAGAGCCTTCGTCCGGACATTTCCCTGACTCCAGGACTGGCCATTGTCCTCCCCAGCCTCCTTACTGTCTGGTCTGCCAGGTCCGCAGATTGCTGGCGGACCACAACAAACAACTGAAATGTGTGCTGAAGAGACAATTGCAATTGTGTTTAGAATTTTCATATAGAGAAAAATCATGAAATTCAGCCAACAACTGTAAATGCAATTTATAAAATTCAGCCAACAACTTATAAATAGTAGTTTCTTTTACCATATATTTAATTCAACCGTTCTGTTTCAGTTATTATCTTCATTGATACAGAACCCAGTGGAATCCAGGTACCCAAAGATCAGTCCGTCATTTTGGTGTAATAAGGAAATCTTTTGCACCTTTTTCAGTTTTAAAGGCATCAGTGAGGGAAGACACAAGCGATAATAAGCCCTGCCTCCTCATCAGAAACAATAGTTGTTGCCAAAGGGAAGAAGAGGCCATATCAGCAAGTAGTTTCTTCCTGGCCAGAATGGCGATCATAGCTTGAACCTGCCAAACAGTATTCCTCTAGAAATTCAATTTGATCTCTTTGCTTCCACATTTCTGTTTGAGTAATGAAAAGCCTGATCTTTTCTCCATCACATTGACCTCATCAAAATATTTAAAAAATTGTCAGTCTGTTCAACTATGCCCGAACAAAAATTAGCTGCTTCATTCCAATTTATGTACATTTAAAAAAATCTAAACAATGAAAACTTGCATATGCTGTTATGTGCTTTTTCTTAGACATGACAGAAGAGCATAATAAAACAATTTGTTCACTCCAGTTGAATGGTATTTCATAAAGTTAATTTATCTTTCAAAACCAATGAATAAATTAACCTACAAGATCCTTAGAATAATCCCCCCCCCCCGAAAGTTGATAGTATAGATTACACAAATGTATTTACTTCTGGACCTCTGAATAATTGTCCCACAGCAGTGTGATAGAATAGGTAAAAAAATTTAATTTACTTGAAGATGGAAACGAGGGCTTGTTGCTCTTTCAATTAGTCTATTTATTTAGGTGCTTATAATATTTAAAATGTTCAATAATGGGTATCCCCAAAGTAATTAGTGTTCTTTTATTTTTTTCTAGGTGTGAAATACTAACTTTCTCACTTTCATTAGCTCTTAGTTATCTTACCTTTCAAAATCCAATGAATAAGTTAACCTATAGGCTCCTTAGAATATTTTTTTCTGAAAGTTGATGAATACAGCTTTAATAAATTTCCAGAAAAATTAGAATACAGAACTACAAGGGCAGCAGAAAATTGAAAAGGAAAACGTGTTCAAAAGTGAAGAAAAAAGGAATGCTTTCACTTTTCCTCATAATAGATATTTATAATTCATAAGTTAATTTTTAAATCTAAACATATAACTAGTAATTAACTTAAATTTGATGAGACAATATCTCTACAGTCTTACATTATTTTCATTAATTCTTTTATTAAATAAAACCTTGTAGCATTTCATAAAGTTTATTTTATTTTTCAAAATCCAATAAATAAATTAACCTTTAGGCTCCTTAAAACATTTTTTCTGAAAGTTGACATTATAGATTACACAAATGCATTTCCTTATGAACCTCTTAGATGTGATAGAATAGGTAAGAATGTTCTCTCAATTAGTCTATTTAAGTGCATAAAATATTCAAAATTTTCATCAACAGATGTTTGAAAATTGATTAGAGTATTCTTTGTTATAACATTATCTTCCCCAGCTACAAATTTTGTTCTGGATGCAAGATATTGGCTTTCTCACTTCCATTAGTTCTTTTATTAAATACAACCTTGTGGTATTTCCTAAATATCATTTTATATTTCAAAAGTCAATGATTAAGTTAACCTATATCCGTGATGGCGAACCTATGGCACCTGTGCCAAAGGTGGCACACAGTGCCCTCTCTGATGTCACCTCAATTCAGCTCTGCTGTGCATGCATGCATGCCTCCTGCTGGCCAGCTGGTCTTTGGGTCTCTGCCACATATGCATGTGGGGGAGGGGTGTCTGTGGGAGGGCACACGCACATGGGGGTGGGGCACGTGTGGGGCTGCATGCTTGGGGGAGGGGTATGTGGTGGGTGGGTGCACATGTGCACGGGGGCACGTGCAGGGGGGCGCAGGGGCATGGGCATGCAGGGGGCCGCATGCACATGCACGGGGGCAGGGCGCATGCACGGAGGCTGCATGCACATTGTATTTTGGGGGTTTGGGTATGCACGCTTTGGGCACTCGGCCCGGAAAAGGTTAGCCATCACTGACCTATAGGCTACTTAGAACATTTTTTTCTGAAAGTTGATAGTATAGATTACACAAATGCATTTCCTTATGAACCTCTTAGATGTGGTAAGACAGTTTAATGTAGTTGAAGATGGAAACAAGGAGAAGCTTGTTGCTCCCGATTAGTCTATTTAAGTGCTTATAATAGCTAAAAATTTCAGTACTAGGTGTCTGCAAATAGAGTATTCTTTGTTACAATATCATCTCCAGTTACAAATTTTGTTCTGGTTTAAGATATTAGCTTTCTCACTTCTATTAGTTCTTTTATTAACTACAATCTTGTGGCATTTCATAAAGTTTATTTTATCTTTCAAAAGTCAATGAATGAGTTAACCTATAGGCATTTTTAAAAAAGTTGATATAGATTACACAAATGTATTTATTAAGAAATAATAAAAATTAAAATACAAAACTGCAGGAAAGGAGACAGAAAGTTGAAAAGAAACAACATGGTTTTTAGTATGTCTTGCAGTCTTAGGTAAATCATTTTGAAGTATATTCTATATTAAAGAAGGAATATTTAACTCTGCACTTTTTTAGGATCAAGAAATATATTTAGATTAGGTAATAATTGCAATCTGATTCCCACTAGCCAAATAAATTGATGGTTTCCTTGTGAAGTGAGCTCCTGCCTGTAGTAACATATATAATATACAATACCAAGGATGATAGTTTCATTTATATTTTTCAGTCCCCTTTTCAATATGCAACTAAATTTAGCAGTAAATTGAGAATTTCTATATTTTTCTTGTATTTTCTTACTATATTTCCTGTATCCAATATTGCAAGGCAGGCAAATACCTACCATCCATCCGCCTACCCCAAGATCTTCAGCAAAAGAGAAGATTTCACCAAAATAAAATCTCTCTTTAACTTTTTCATTTTGATCTTACTTTCAAAGGCCAAAGAAATCTGATTTCTTCTAGCATGTCCTCAGACTGAACTCCTGCTGCTGTAAAAAGAGAAGCCACTGAAAATATTGGCTAATGTAAAACCATGAAAATAATTAGGCCAGATGTTAAGATATTGAATTTTATTCTGCTAGTTATGAATAAAATGCATTTCAATCTGCTACATTTTTAATCTTTCTGCCACTGATAATTTCAAGAGATTTTGTCTAGCTTAGACACCTTTACTGAATGAATTGAGTAATATGAGAATATTACTTGATTACAATAATCATCTAGGAACAAGACCATTTGCCACAAATATATTAAGGTGTGATGCAATTCTCTGTATACATAAGACACAGGGAATTTTGCTGCTAAATTCAAATTAACATTTTCAAACGTTTTCAAATCTTGTCATACAGTCCGATCCTAGTTTATAGTTGCTGTTTTTAACAGCTTTGGCAGATTTTGTTTAGTAAATAGTATACTATTCTCAGTGGTGAAATCCAAATTTTTTTACTACCTGTTCTGTGGGCGTGGCTTGGTGGGCGTGGTGTGGCTTGGTGGGCATGGCAGGGGAAGAATACTGCAAAATCCCCATTCCCTCCCCACGCCTGGTAGAAGGATATTGCAAAATCTCCATTTCTACCCCACTCCAGGGGAAGGATACTGCAAAATCCCTATTCCCTCCCCACTCCTGGGGGAAGGATATTGCAAAAAATCTATTCCCACCCCACTCTAGGGCCAGCCAGAGGTGGTATTTGCCGGTTCTCCGAACTACTCAAAATTTCCGCTACTGGTTCTCCAAAGTGCTCAAAATTCCTGCTACCAGTTCTCCAGAACCTGTCAGAACCTGCTGGATTTCATCCCTGACTATTCTCAATCACCCCATCCTGACATGTTGGCTTCTGCTGCGTGATAGATTGAGTTAAACTAGCTGTTAGGACCATTGGCTTTAATACCTTAAGTCTCTCAACAAGCATAGGACAGTGGACCAGCAAAATGTTTGCCTTCTATATGCTACTTATCAAATTTATATAGTTGCCTGTTTCACCAAAAGAAACTGTGGGTGGCACGCAACGAAATTATGTAAAAAACATATCAAATATAAAACTTTATATTAATAAATATCATAAAAAACAAGAGATAGAAAACCTAGACAACCAGAGGGATAAAATTGGTCATCTCAACAATAGAGCCATCTTGGCAAGCTGGCTCAGCTCTGCAGGAACAATTGACATTATTACTTGGCATGAGGGAAATTATTCTCTGCTAAAAGAGAGCTACTGTATTATTGGTGTGAATTTGTGGGTCACTGAGAATTCCACTTATCACATTTCTGAACAACCCAGAACGGAATAGGCCCTGTATGGCCTTCTGTATGATGTACTTCAATTCCAGATACATTCTAACCAGTATAAATAAGGCAAAGATCATGGAAGTTGCTGGCTCACGTATTTGGAGCACGTGTTGTTTGTCCTCAGCCTACATAGATGGCAATGATTTGATGGCGATGAGGGGAAGTGAAATAGTGAAATTTATTTAAGCAGTAAACCGAACCCTGTTAAAATATTGCATACTTTTCTATTGACCACTCTTATTGCCACATGGTAGGGCAGCTGCATTTTATATGCTATTAGAATTAAATTTCCAAATGAATTGCAGAAATATAATTTTAAGATCGGGCACAAGAAGGACAATTCAATTGGGTTAAACACCCAATTGTGTAGTGCTCCTGAGATGCACAAGGTTTGTTTCTCCAGTGCCGATTGCGACTCCTGCTTCAGCACAGAATTAGCTACCAGGATCAGTGAAAGAGACCTCTTTTTGGCTATGTTAGAAATCCTTAGGTCAAAGGTCTGTACCACATGTGCAGTGATGAAATATGATAAATCATTCTGACTTGACAAAAATTAAAATTCTTTTTTATACCATTTTTATTCTGTGAAATAAAGTATAAAAACTTACAAACTGGAGAACATATCTAGACACAAAAAAGATGATACTTAAACAAAACATGTATACAAGAGCAGAGCAATATCTGCTCCCCTTTCTCCCCCATCAAAATACTTGCCTGCATTTCAGTGGGATTTTAGAAAACACTTGTCAATTTAGGGTTTTTTTTTTTAGGCTATTGGAGAATATCCATATATTTATATATTAAAGATAAAAATCAACAACCTGATTTTGAATGGTGGATAGACTATCCATAGTCAAGTGACTGTACAAGGTGTCCCCTTTATTTGTTGCCTATTTTGCCAGACTGGAACCTAAGAAACTGTAATACAAAGAACAGAGAGGATGCCACTCGAAGTTCCACTTTAACCTGAAAACAAACCATGATATAATTTGGTCATTCTTCTATTTTGTTCTGTTATAAAATGATGCTAGTAATTAAAAAATAAGATCAGTTTCCCTTTCTCTTAATTTTCACGTATTAATCAGGTGAATTCAGACAATTGCTTTGATTGTTTTTCTTCTTTTCTGTATCTCAAAAACAGGCTGAAAACTGTTACTCCCATAGGGAGTTGGGTACAAGGACTACTTTGTGGAGTTCTTCTAATTCACTTCCTTCAGGTTTTGAGCAATAATAAATTTCAACATTATTTTTTTTTTCCATTCAATGAGATATAAATAGTCATATGGTCCGTGTAATTTAAATACACTTCTAAAAAGTGTATTTTTACTGATATTAAAAACGGTTCAGTTGTTCAAAAAAGTGATCAATTTGAAAAGGGTGCATGCGGTACATACATGCCTGAAGTATATACACTTGTGCACGCACACAGGCACACACGTTATGCATATAAAATGATTGCCATCACATTATTACTGCTATTTGAATGAAATATGATCCTAAGCACATTTTGCTTAGTAGTTTGAGTGCCCTGGATAGGATCTACTGCCAACTCAACTGTGCTTAGGATCATATTCTTATTCTTAGTGAATGGACATAGTATCAGTGGACTGAGCTGATGTAAACATTTGTCAAAAATTCTGTAGGTTAAAAAAAATGGATTGCTTCTATTAAAGCAGTTTCTGAAATGACTAATAGGCATAACTATAGGCATTTCTCTTAGTAATTCAATTTCCTTAACTAATCTTCCTCTAATAAGAAATCAGGTTTGAGAATAAACAATTGAAACTTGACCAACAGTTTTCTTCTCACCTTCTCAGTGCATTCAAGCATATAATTAAACAATCTTTCAAATTGTTTACAGTCCTGTCATTGAGCCATTTATCACTGTAGCATAGTTTCCAAGATAAGGAATTACTCTTACATATTTTCTTTATCATTAAAATCAATAGTTATAATTTGATATAATACCCTTTATTAATGTTAGGCTGGGAAAAGGGCCAGACTTCCTTTCATGTCAGTGAAGTTATGGTGGGGGGGGGGGGGAGGGAGGAAGATAAGTCTAATAAAAAATATGAATAAACAAACATAACCTTTTGTTACAAAAAAACAAAACCCAAGTTTCACGATCAGTCTAACAATACTGCTTCCTGTTCTTTTTTGATAGAGTCTAAAACTGAATGATCACTCTCTGTAGTTTCAGCATCTCCACTTAGCAGAATGGATCTTTCCTCTTCTAAAGTAAAGACCGAGTTCTGACTTTGGCAAGAATGTTTGACAACTTCGTTAGGTGTGGAGAATGTCTTGTCACACAAGTTGCACTTATAGGGTTTGTTGGTCTGTACTAACATATTGTCCATCTGGTTGCCTTCCTCAAATGTACAGAGCTCCAGAGTCTGCTTGTCCACCACAGTGTAGGTGTCCATACTTTGGTTGAGACATACATGCCTAGCAGCTTGATTGGCCCGGCAGAAACTTTTGTCACAAGTACTGCACTTGAAAGGCTTGCCGGTATGTATGTACATGTGCTCTCTCCAGTGGCTTTTCTGAATGAACTTGCGTCCACAAATGGAGCATTCATACTTCCGCCTTTTCACTTCTCTTTCTTGATCTGCTTGCTCCAAATTGTCAATATCAGCAATATCTGAGGGCGGGGGGGTTTCTGCTTGCTGCTGCCCATCAATTATGGGTGAATCTGAGATCTGCTGCAGCTCACTGTCACTGATCATTCCGGCTTCAGTCGCTTCCATAGCATCTTTTTCAGGAGCATTATTACACAGGGATAAGGGAATGCTACTTTCCCCATGCTGGTTGGATGTGAAGGGCACTCCTGTGTGAATCTGGAGATGCTCACGCAAGCTACTTCGCAAATTGAAACGTCGACCACACAGGTGGCAGGCATAGTATTTGGGAAAGCTTCCATTTTTTTTCATAATGCTTGGCTTGACATGCGCTATTGTGAGAGAGGCAGGTTGATCATCTGAGGAAGAGGCTTCCATGTTGGTTTCATCTCCAGGTGAAGGATGAGAAGGAGCTGATACTAACTCGGGAGACAGTGAAGACTGCAGTGGGTCAGGGGGAGCTATATTTGTTGGGGGCACTTGAGGCAAACTTGGTGGTGGTATCTGGGATATTTGGGGTGGTTCATGTACCTGTTCTTGATTCACTCTTGAGAGCTGGGGTCGTGCTTCTCTCAAAGGCTTGTCAGGTGCTGTCACTGCCTTTGTGGGATTTCTTGCTTGGTGATCTGCAATTTGAATACCGTATAATGATGATGCCAATGGGAAAACTTGCTCTGGGTGTGCAAAGTTTCCTTGGCTGGCTAGACTGGCCTCCTGGATCAACGGGTATGCATGCAAGAATTTTATCCCTTGCTCGAGTCGAACAGGATCTATGAGCTGAGGTGCCATCTTTCCAGTGTACATTAAATGCAAGAGGTAACTGAAAATATCTGGCTGTATGTCAGCTGCCTTCAAACGGACACATTCACTGCAAAAAAAGAAATTACAGTATTAATGAAGAAAAAGAAGGGAAAAAACCTCTAAAGATGTATTATAGTATTTACCCAAGGCAGCAGTATATCCCCTATACATCAGGAATGATCAGACTTTACGGCTCAAAAAGCATAGGCTTTTCTCCTGTTTACACATGTATGTATAGAAGTGTTTCCTCCCTCTGCATATTGCTCGCTGTCACTACTTTTCTGCAGCCACTGAAATACAGGAATACTTTTGCAGCATCAACATTGGCAAACAATGAAGGAGATGGCGGTTAAGTAATATTTATTTATTTATTTATTTATTACATTTCTATACCGCCTTTCTCACGTAGGACTTAAGGCGGTGTACAGTCAAGAAAAATATAGACACACAAACATCATAAAATTGCTAATTAAAATTATTATTTAGTTTGGTCAATCAAATAAAACCCAGAATTAGATAACATTTAAAAAATCATTCACATGTTCGTATGTTTAGCCCCGCCTGTTGGAACATCAGGGTCTTGAGGGCACGGCGGAAAGCACGGAGATCAGGCATATTCCGTATCTCCGGGGGCAATTCATTCCAAAGGGTTGGAGCCCCCACAGAGAAGGCCCTCCCCCTGGGAGTCGCCAGTCGACATAATTTGACTGACGGTACCCTGAGTAGTCCCTGTGAGAACGAACTGGTTGGTGGGAGGCTATTGGTGGCAAAAGACGGTCTCGTAAGTACCCAGGTCCTAAGCCATGGAGCGCTTTAAAGGTAATAACTAACACTAATATGAAGTTATTAATAAATAAATTAGTTATTTATTAATAAATTATTAATAAATAACTAATATGAAGTTGTTAGGGTGTTTGGGAGCTTCCCTCAGGTCTTCCAACAAGAGGATCACATGCAATTTGTGAGGCATCCACCCCTTTAATACATACTGATAAGGAAGCTGCAGTTAGTCCTCAACTTATGACCATAACTGAGCCCACAATTTTAGTTGTGAGTTGTATTGGTCTTAAATGCACCATGTGACCAGACCAGATTTTATGACTTTGGGGCAGTGTTACCCTGAACCCATTGTTGGTTATGGGGCAGTTTTGCCAGAAGTTGGAATTAAATGCCAATCTCCGGGAAAAATATTGTAAATCAGTCATGTGACCTTAGAGCACTGCAAACAGGAATAAATGTGGGCTAGTTGCCGTGTGCCCAAAATGCAGTCACTTGATGCAGCGGGGGCTCCTTGATATCAGAACTTCAAATCCAGGTCTTGGGAGTCCACTGTAATTTCGAATAGTCACTAAGCAACTGGCCATTAGTCAAGGATTACCTGCAAGTCTCACTAACCTCAGTGGTTTTCTTCTGAGTAATTAGACATACGAAGGTTCTACAATTTTAAAGGTAATCACTTACAAGAATATTATGTATTTATTGCAATACTTGTTTAAATAATATGACTTAGGGCTGCTTTTGCGGTCCCTTCAGATCTCAATGTGAAGGAATAAAAGACAATTTGTACTAAGTCGGTTTTAGAGAAATAATGTTATAACTCATACTGATTTTAAATAAAACTTATTTGGTTCAGGAAGTACAAATGAATACAGTAGTTTATAGTACCACATAAATACTTAAACATCAAAAATGAAATACAAAACTTCCTATATTTTGACAATTGGGATTTATTTGCTATTTTACATGATTGCTTAGGAATCAGCTGAGGTTTTCCATTCTCAGAATTATATCTATATACTACTAAAACTCTTGTGTCTGTAATCTTTAACTGGGTAAAAGTAGGGCAAAACTTTTTGAGCCAAGGTATCTCAAATTGGCTAACTTACACAATGTGTTCAAAATCTTGGACCGATGACTCACATGAAATTAAATTTTGGAAATTTTATAAAACATTTTATGACATACAAATTATCATAAAGCATTTTGGCATTATACAAAATATTATAAAATATTTTGTGCTCAACCCCTGATGTTTTGACTGTGCTATAGAGCTCAACTTGAGCTATTTTCAAGGCAGATACTTCTCTGAATATCTCCCATACTTTTTACGTACATTAGAAGCTCTGCCATTTGAAGCACTGAGGAATCTGGCAAGAAAATATCTCTGAAACAGGTTACCTATTAAATGGCTTAATAATGAGGATCTGAATCTCTACAGCCAATTTTTCAGCAAATTTATATTTAGAAGCAGAACCTATGCAGATATTGCAGAACCTATACCTTGATTTGAATGAAGTATAGAAGTATGTTAACAGCTTATTTAAAAAATCAAATGTTAATGACTTCTTGAAGAATTCAAAACTTTCAGTTGACAGGAATAAAGCAAAGCAAATGGAACATAGTTCCTGATTCTTAATCTTCTAATAGTAAAGATTTAAGATGAAGAATATTGATATATAACAGAACAAAATGTACCATATACGTCTATTCAGCTAATCACAAATATTTGTAATCTCAACTGCTGTGAATAAAGAGAGTGATTAAATATACTGCTCAAAAAAATAAAGGGAACACAAGCAGAAGACATCCGAGATCTGAATGAATGAAATAGCCTTATTAAATACTTTGTTCTTTACATACAGTAGTTTATACACTGCTCAAACAACTAAAGAGAACACAAAACTACTGTATGTAACGAACGAAGTATTTAATAAGGCTATTTCATTCATTCAGATCTCGGATGTCTTCTGCTTGTGTTCCTTTTATTTTTTTGAGCAGTATATTTTTTTTTTCATATCCCATGTTTTTATTCCATTTCAGACAATGATTACTTCTTAAAGTGATTCATAAGAAGTAAGCCAAAAAGTAGACTAATCCTCAGGTTTACTATTTAAAAAGGCAAGAGAATGAAATGCAGATGGCAAACAATTCCTCAAGCCCATTTTGAAATCAGTATCTACCTCAGGCCAGACTGATCTGTCCTTCCTAATTATCTTCTTTGAATAGCAATTCACAGTCCTAAATTCTCTTGGCTGATTCCACACAGTGTTGCCTTTGAACACACTATCTGACCGGAAAGGACAAACAAAGCTCTACAGCTTCTCCTATGGCCAATATAGAGAGAAAGCTAGGTTCTTCCTGGGATGGATAGGTAGGGACTGCCCTCATTAACCCTTGGTTTCCTGCTACTTAGGAAATTATAATTTACACCAAAAGAACCTCTTCAGTATTACAGTGGCTGAACCTGGGTCATAAATCAGGTACCAATGAAGTTAGCAAGGCTTAAATTCTAATTGTCTTAAATGATCTGCAGATTGCACTGCATGTTACTTATTGAGGTAGATAAAGTAACCCTATACTAACTTAATGTTTGACTATATATATGTATACAGTACCTGCTTTGATGAACGAACAACATCTTGAAGTAGTTGGAAAAAGAGGCAAGGACGGATTTGTGTGCCTTAAAGTACACATCACCAATAGCAACTGTGCAGTCACACAGGAAACCAAACTCCCTCTGAGCATTAAGCTGCTGTAGAAGAATAAGTCCATGGTTGGCCAAATCCATCTTTTAAAATCTGTAAAGTAGAAAATATTCTTGAGAACATATTTCTTTCAAGATTCTGTCATATGCCCAAAGAATGTGAAATTTGGAAGGGCACAATTCACAGGTATTTATGTGATTTTTATAGCCACCTACTTTTTTACCTATTGTGAATGAGCAAGAAACATACAAGCACAACAATCCAAATTGGGACTAAAATTTCCATCACTAAGCCCATGCTCATTAGATAAAACAAGGAGGGCCAATAGCTGCATTGGTTGGGGGAGCCTCAGCAGCAGAGGCAGGAAGGAGAGGCGAAGATCAGCTGGAGATAGGCAGTGGCAGGGTGGCTTTGGCGCACAGGGACCAAAAAGGCAAAGGTGGTGGTGGGGAGTTAAAGTGCATGTTGTGGTTGTAAATATGAATGAGCTGCCAAGCACTCAAATCTCAATCAATTGAGGACTATCTATAGGATTAAAATCAACAAAGGAAATAAAATAAAGAATAGATAACATAAATTAGCACAAAAATGCTCATTACCTGTTTGCCAGCAATGTAGCAATATATATCTCAGACAACTAAAAAACATCAAATTTATTTAAAGCCATCGCATTCATACTACTTCAGTTTGTAGACAGGTTGAAATACAACAGTTAAAAACCTGAGAGCAAATAAATGAAGGTTTTGATTTGTGTTAGAATATACATGCATAGTTTTAGAATATTAAAATATATATATTTGGAAATGCTGCATAGGATCAAGAGAATTAAACCAAATGTGATTCTAAAAGTCTTGATCCCTCATAGCATTTTGAAATATTTGGGAATATTTGTAAGAGTCCTGAGTATAGCTATATATAAATGCTACTCTCTCGATTAGTTTTTCAGCTATGTTTTTATATTTCGTTTTATATTTTGTTTCTGTAATGAATGCTTTGCACAGCAAATTCAATCAACTGTTCAGGAAAACTTGCAGCAAACTGGAAAAATGAATTAGATAAAAATCACAGCATTCATTTGAGGTTAAATTAAAAATAAAACCAAACACGTCTGTTTTCTGGAGTACACGTAAATTCATATTTTTCGAATTTACAGGCAGCATCTAACATTAAATAAAGGCGAGATCTCTCTGGGTAATTGTGAGAGCTTCCCTGGCCAGAAAAAAAAGGAAAGTGTCCAGAAGAAGGGTGGGATCAAAATTCAAAAGCGTCTTCCGCCCCAGGAAAAAAGGCAGAACCTCTTCCGAGAGGCTTGTCCCTCCCTTTGGAGAGAGGAACTTCTCGCCAAGCGCCAGCAATAAAAAGCCACTCAGGAGGCAGCAAACCCTCGCAGACGCCAACGGGGCGGGCAAACAGCAGCCTACAGCGGTGGAGGACCGCAAGCTTCCTTCACCCCCTTCCCCCCCCCCCCCACCGCCCCCGCCGTGAATCACACTGTGACAACCCGCCGGCATTTTCTATTGGCTGCCTGCGGAGCAAAAAGGGGCAAGGCAAGCGAGGCCAAGCGCGCGCCACGGCCACTGCCTCGGCCCCGCCTTCCTCCCCTGCGCAGGGCTACGCGAAGCCGCCGCGTGCGCGCACACGCAACGCACGGAGGAGGCGGCGGGGCGGCGTACGGACGGGCGGCGCGAGACGACGTAAGCAGCGCGAGCGAGCGGGCTGGGGCGCCTAGGCGCGCGAGAGACGGGAACCGCCGCTGTCGCCAGGGCCGCCTAGGCTGCTGAGGAGACGCAGACGGAGCCGCCCACCCTCACCCCCCCCCCTTTCCTCTCTCTCTCTCTCTCTCTGCCTCCCTCCCTCCCTTTCCCGCTCCGCGCGGCTGCCTCGGCGCCTGCCCCTCCCCCTTCCTCCTAGGCCGGGCTGCTGCCGCCGCGGGTGAGAGAAAAAAGGGGAAAGGCCGCTACCCAGCTCGGCGAGGGCGGTTCAGGGCCAAGCCAAGCCCGGATCAGACCAGGCTCTGCCAGGGCAGGAGTTTCTTTAGCAGCCTTAACCGGGAGACCTCTCCCTCTTCTCCCCGAGGCAGCCGCCTCCACCGGCGCCATTTCGGGGTCTCGGGTGGGAAAGCCCCCCTCAGGGCCCGGGAGAGCCTCCTGCCTTTCCTCCGGGTCCGAACCTGGCCTACTCGACCGCCAGTACAATGGTGGGAAGGGAGATGGCGGGGGGGGGGGAGGGAGGAAGAGAAAGAGCAAGGGGCCTCGCCGCCGCCACGCGCCCCCCTCCCCGCTTTCCCTCCCGGCCACCCGCCCCTCTCCCGCGCCTTCTCGGAGGATGAGTGTGTGTGGGGGGGATTTAGGCGGCACTCACCTGGCTCGCGTTTTCGGGGAGGGGGGGCCCCCGCGGTCTCCGCCAGCCCAGGAGCAGCAGCAGCAGCGCCAACAACGGAGTCAGCGCGGCGGCGGCGGCTTTTCCTGTCCGGTTACGTTAGGGTCACATGACCGAGAGCGGAGCAGAGAGGCTGTAGCGAGGAGCCCCCGCCGGGGAGAGACGGGGGGGGGGGGGGGGGGGGGGGGGGGGGGGGGGGAGGCGACGGAATGGGCCCCATTCTGCGCGCTTTGGTTCTTTAAAGCTTAGCTCTCGTTCTCCCTATTTTTTTTTCCCCCTTTTTTTCTTTTGAATGTCTTCCGTTGCTCTGATACAGGTGGGAGAGAAGAGGTGGCCAGAACTGAAGTAAGGTGCACTTTGGTTAGAAAAGAAGGGGGAGAGGGATAATTTTAACCGTCTGCGGTTAGCTGCCCTTAGCTTGATTTTGGCTCTTTATGACAACTTTAAAAAAAAATGATTGGCATCCGAGTGTTTCTAAAGTATGCATTTAAGTCGTTTAATACTAAATTCCACTTCTCGGGGCAGAGGTCAAGTAACATGGATTTGAACTTAGTAAACTTATTTGAAGTTTATCCCTTTCAGCAGTAGGTGACTTATGGTGAGATAGGTGTTGATTTTTTTTTAGGAAGCTCCATACATTTATCTCCTGCTTTAATGGAAATAATAATATTCCATTAATAGGTTTAGATTTGTAAGTGCAGAATTGCACGCTTTTAGCTGGTGAACTTATTTCTTTGATGGATGGCAGTAATCCTGTAGCTTGAAATAAATAGTATTATTGTATGGTTTCATAGTAGGAAATATGAAATACATAAAACTGCTGGAATTCAATTTATTTAAAAACCTGAACCCTAAGCAAAGTGATGGATTAATGGTTAGAAGTGTGATGTATTAATGGAGTGATCTGCACCAAAGTAAATTAACTCTGAAGTTAAAAATAATGTATGCAGTAGCAATTTTTATTAGATTTTCTCAAGAGAGTCTCTCCTTTAGTTTAGTAAGTTTCAATAATATGAATAGGATTGTGGTCCTGGAGTAGTTTGATGTCCTTTCCCAGAAAAAAAGTGGGGAATTTGTTCTTAAGCATTTCTAAATCTCTGAACTTGCTTTGATTTCTGTCAGTTGCTTTGTTATTGTTTAAGCAGCTATTTCTGTTTTTTACTAGGCTGTGGAGATAATACTTCATTTTTTGTTCTACTTACTTTACAGATATGTAATCAGGTCTTCCCTTTCATATTTAATTATACTGAAAGATTTGCATGTGATTCTACACACATTGCTCAGAAATTAATCCTTTTGAGTTTAGTAAATTACAGTGAGGTTAGTAAACATTAACACAACCGTTTTGGATTTCCTGGTGGGAACCTGTAACTTTAAAGTTGGAAAAAGGTTCTCTTGAAAGAGTTGTATATATCTAAGATTATGTGTTCAATTTTTGTTTCAGGTAGTTGTCTTTTATCAGTTATAAGCAAAGAACTAAAAAAGGGGGGAAGGAATGAATTATTGAAATTTAGTCTCACATTTACAGATCTACATGATTTTCCCTTGATCAATACTACTGATTTCCTTACAAATACAGAGAGTCTATGAAAGTTTAATACTTCACTCTGACTTATGCATTGAGTTTTTAGTATTTTGTGTAATTAAGATTCAGATACGGGTAAAAAATTGTGCTTAATTACAAATTTGTGTTTAAGCTTAATATTTGGTTACAGTTTTAACTTCTATTAACAGCTTTTTCCTAGCCCTTCATTTTCCATTTCAGTGTGGATCTTTCAGTTTAAAACAATATAAATATAACATGTTATCAGAGCAAAAGAATTTCTCCAGGACAATAAAAACTTATATTACAATAATTAGTCATATATTGCTTTTAGAGTGCATGAATCCAGTTTGGTGGTCTTGGTCTAGGAAAAGATATGGTGCAGTTAATGAAATGTTCAGTTTAGTTTATTAAGATCTCTGCTAATAAACTGGATTTTAGAATCACATCTTGATGCTTTGAAGAGTGCAAGCCATCTAAATCGGGTTGGACACTTTCTTTGCAAAGAAATCTACATAGCATTCCAAGGATTGAATTTCAATTTACTGGCTCCCACACAATCCATCATGGAAGTTCAGTGATTGATAATTGGATCCCAAATCACATTTTCATCTTAATATAAGAAGCAACCCAGTTTCTTTAAAAGGGCAATTGAAAGCTTTCGAAATAAATTAGTAGTGATAGATTTTATTTAGTGAAAGAAAAACCTTTGTATTGAAAAGTAGTACAGTAGTCAGACATGGATAACATGATCATCATCACAGTAGCTCTTGTTTAGTAACTGCCTGTTTGCAATTATGACAGTGATGAAAAAGTATCTTTGCAACCAATCTTTGCATTTATGACCTTTGCAGGTCTGTAAAGCAAAGGAAAGCTGAAGTAAGATCATGAACACACTTGTAGTTTCACTTTACTTACTGAGTGTTGGTACCAGTTATGGTCATTAAAGGAGGACTACCTATATACCTCCAGGTGGTGCATTGATGTATCATTTATATTGGTGATTCACTGAATGGCCTGGGTTCGTATAGTCCTCTGAGCTATAAACTGGCCCAACATTTTAGCTTAGTGTGCTGTGTAAAACCAGTGATCTGATGAAAACTCATAGCTTTGTTCCCTGCTTGTGAGCATTTAAGCATAAACTAATGCTTATGAACTGTTGATTTAGTATAGTAAATCTATTGCTATATTACTAGTAGAGGACTGCATTTTAAGTAAGATTAACATTTGTATGTAGCATTAAACTTTTAGGTTTGCATTAAAATTTAAATCTGCATTAACACTTAAATCTGAACAGTGATTTAAACTTTTCTAAACAGTACTGAGTCATAAAATATCTTCCCGGATAAGTTTTTTACCTATCAGGTATTATAATGTAACTTACAAATGTAAAAATAAATCAGTATCTGAATTGTCTTTTATTGTGTGATTTATTGTATCTGTTTTATCCAGGTTTTGTGGGGAGCCCTTGCTATACTAAACATATACTATCTTTTGTAAACCAGGGATTGGCAGAACAGATTAGTATTTGTTGATCAATGATTTCTGGCTCCTAATTGTTAAATACAAACAAATCCTATCAGCAAGTTAGGCTATTGAAGAAAAGGAAGTGGGAGGAAATATTTCTAGACTGAAATGCATTAGGAGTGTCCTGTTCCTTAGTTCAAAGCTTGTCTATCTCAGTAATTGTTTACTCAGATGCTTGGTAAGGTGTTGGATTCCCTCCAATTAGCTGGGCAGTAAATAGTACAGTAGTTCATTTTTGAAGTGAAAGCTGCTTTCTAATAATGAGGTACAGTATACTAGTTGCAAAAACTGATCTCATTAATTTAAATAAGGTTTTTCCTGGATTTAGACCATTCTGAGAAATTATAAGCATTCAAATTTAATCTCATGTTTGCCTCTAATTATAATAGTATTTGCTTTTATTCTATTTGGGCATAAATGTGCTGTCCCCATGTATTTTTTGCCCCTTTCCAAAAGTGCTAATTTGAAATAACCAAGTTTACATACATATTTGTTAATTATGTAAACTAGAGAAATTCATTTTTCAGGAAAGGTATTGGAAATTTTTCCAGTGCAGAATTGAATAGGTAAATGATATTAGTGTGCTTCATTTTGTTCATATATTCAGTATAAGTATCTAATATTCTTTAGTGCTTTTACTCTGAATAATAGAACATGCAATTTGAAGGGGACTGTGAAGATCTCCTTATCCAATTGCCTGCCTGGAGCATGGATCCATTACTGCAGCATCCTGACAGATGGCAACCCAGCTGCTGTTTAAGTATTTTTCCTGAAGATTGACCACCTCCCCAGATAGTCTTTTCCATTGTTTATTTTTATCAGGATTTTTTTCCGTTGCTGTCCAAAATTTATGGCCTTGTAATTTAACCCCATTGCTTCTTATCTTGTCTTCTGGAACAACTTTGGACAATACTGCCCCGAGTTTTGCATTATCACCCTTTATATACTTGGTATACTTGTGTCTTTTAACAGTCACAGGCTAAACATACGCAACACTTCCAATTGTTTCTAGCAACTTTTTCTTTCCAGGTCCATTATTTCTGAGCATTCCTCAGTTTGTTAGTATCCTTCCTAAAATGAGCAAAGAATTGAACGCCGTACATTAGCGGGAGTCTGATCCATGTTGCTGCTGCCTGTGATTCATTTTTTAGTTTTTGTCCATGTATCAGTTCCGTATTTGGATTGTAATGCTTCAAGCATTTAAGATTCCACAACAGCAGTGTATGTACTGCTGTTCAGTATGGTTTTCCCCATCTCATGGCTTTACATTTGATTTTTCTACTTTGATTTCCTATAATCGAGATACAGGATTATGCATTTGCTGTTACAATTCATTTTGGCTGATACGTTCCATTGTTCCAGCTTTACAAAATCCTTTTGAATCTTGATGCTGTTCTGTATGGTGTTTACCAACCCCCAACTTTGTGATCTTCAAATTTGATAATCATTTTTAATGCCTCATGTTAAAACAGCACAGAGTTGAATAGAGCCTCATAATACGTCTTAACATGTCGTTTGCTGTTAGGTCACTGATGTACATTTATTGAATATAGTCCTCAATTTACAACAGTTCATTTAGTGACCATTCAAAGTTACAATGTACTGAAAAAAGTGACTTATGACGTTTTTCTCACTTAACTGTTGCAACATCCCAATGGTCACATGATCAACATTCAGATGCTTGACAACTGACTCATGATGGTTGCAGTATCGTGGAGTCATGCGATCATCTTTTGTGAGCTGACAAGTCAATGGAGAAGCCAGATTCACTTAACAACCATTTTACCAACTTAACTGCTGATTCATTTAACAATTATGGCAAGAAAGATCGTAAAATGGGGCAAACTCAATAAATGTCTCACTTGGCAACAGAAATTTTAGGCACAATTGTGGTTGTAAGTCAAGGACTTGACCTGAACAGTTCTCAACCAGTTCTGTATCCATGTAATATAGCATAGCATAGCCATCTTTAGACTCTCAAGAGGAATATTATTGATTTTCTGAATTAAACTTCATTATTTCCAGTGTATTCCTAAGGTCATACTGAAACACAGCTGAGTTATGGAGTCACAGTCAAGTTTGTGAAATGGGGTAGATGAGATCCTAAATAGGTATGTCACTACAAAACAACCGCTAATATTCGGAAATTGTAAAGAAAGAATAATACTTAGTTTCCAGTAGGGAAATGGAAGTAACTCTTCACTCCATTTTACATTTAAGATGAGTCAGTGATTTTCTCAAATACATTCCATACAAACTAGTAACCTTACTACTAATTTTCACAAACTAGATATATTAATTGTTGAACTGCCAGAGATAGATATTAGCCAGTCTGTGAGGCTTTGCTAATGTTCTGTCCAGCATTATGTGATACTTCTGAAAAAGATGATATTACTGTGTTATTTACGAATTGAAATATATTCTGAAACAATTTACTGTATTTATGAAGACTGCATTTTTCAGACTTGATTATTTAACCCAATTGCAGGATACTGTAGCAGAAACAAAGAGGCTTCTCTCTCTTCCTCATGCAATATTTAATGTTCATTGTTTCTTACCTTTGCAAAATTTGAATGCCAAATTGTTAATGAAATTGTATAAATACAGGTAGCCCTCGACTTGTGACCGCAATTGACCCCAACATTTCTATTGCTTAGTGAGGCATTTAAGTGAATTTTGTCCCATTTTATGACTTTTCTTACCATGGCTATTAAATGAATCTTGCTTCCCCATTAACTTTGTTTATCAGAAGGTCACAAAAAGTGATCACATGCCTCTGGGACACTGTACCTGCCATAAATATGAGTCAGTTGCCAACCACCTGAATTTTGTTCATGTGACTATGGAGATGCTGCAATGGTCATAAGTGTGAAAAATGGTTTTAAGTCACCTTTTTCAATGCTGTTGTAACTGGTCACTAAATGAACTGTTGTAAGTCGAGGACTATCTATACTAAAGCAATGGAAAAGGTTTGACACTACAATTTTGATAAGAACGATGTCTTGAATATCTGCTTCCCAGATTTATATACTTTTATTTCATTTCAACTGTTTAAGTTTAAAGTGAGCTTAAAGGTTTGTGAACCCTTCTAAATTTAATATTTCTGCATAAATATGACCTCAGTTAAACAAATGAATCAAAAACATTAGACTTGTTCTAATGTTTGATCCCAAAATACTTATTTGTATATGAAAAAAGTGAACCTTTAATTTCAATAATTGGTGTTGCTGAATATTAGGTGCAATCACTGCTATTAAACATTTCTGATAACTTGATGAACCCTGCATGTTGGCTTGGAGGAATTTTAACTATTCTTCCTTATCAAACAGCTTCAACTCAAAAGATATTGGTGGGCTTCCCTGCTTGATGAACTGGTCTTTAGTTCTATAACTCTTACTGTGGGATTCTTCGTGACCTCCCAGAATATTACACGCTTGGCTGTTGGTGTGATCTTGGTTGGTCAACTTCTCCTGGGAAGGATAACAGAGGTGCTGAATTGCCTCCATTTGTACACAATCTACCTAACAGTGGACTCGTGGAATCCAAATTCTTTGGAAATAATTACGGTATGTAATCTTTTCCAGCCTGATGAGTATTAACTTTTTTGGAGGTCCCCAGAAATCTCTCTTGTTCAACTCATGACACACTTCATATACAGAGTGCCGAAAAGGAAGCGCGTGCTCGTCTGGGCTGCAACCTGGAAGAGGAGCTGCCCAGGGTGCATGCACCCCCGAAAATGAACTTCTGGTTTCCGGTGCGCACATGCGTGCCGGCCAGCTGGTTTTCGATGTGCACATGAAACTCTCTGCCGAAAAGGTTCGCCATCACTGTACTATGCTGTGAAGACAGACTGATAAGAATACCCAGAATTTTGTTAAGCAAGACCTTATCATCTCAATGATAGAAATATCTGATTTATTTCCCCTTCAAAGGAACTAATAATCCGAAAGGTTTGTATATTTTTGTCACACACATGTAGCTTTGGATCATGGTCAATACATGATCAAGTATATTGACAGCTTAATTGGATTCTCTAGTTTTAGGATGTGAATAGTATCACATTTTAGGTCATATTGATGTAAAAATATTAAAAACTGAAAAAGGTTCACAAATGTTTAAGCACCACTGTCTCAAGAATTGCAAGTATGCTATTACTGTATATGTGTGGTGTCATTGTTACTGAGGAGTGATAGAGAATTGATGCAAAGTTGAAAAAATTTATTCAAATAAAATGTACCTTCCTCACAAATGCTTTGGGCTTTTTATTTTAAAACGTGCACTGTATAAAAAACAAAATTATGAACAGAGGTATCGGTATATTTTTTGTTTCCCATCATAAAATTTCAGCAGTAGGTTCAATTACAACAATTCTTCCCATTTTCTGAAATTAAAGAGCAAACTTCTTTTAAACTCTTATAAAAATGTTAAAATTTGACAACTGTATTCATGATACATTTTGGAATGTTACTTGAGAACCAGATTCTGGGTGTGAAGTTAAAGCTTTCATGAGTTTTCTGATGTATCTAGTCAAAAGATTTTGGATTTGAGAGACCTTAATCTTGCTTTAAAGAAATTAATGCATTTCTTACAATCATTTATTTTATTTCACAGTTTTTCAGTTGGTGTTCATACATCCATAATGGTTACTAAGGGAAATTTGTCTAAGGCAATACAGTCAAAGACATTGCTTTGATTAAACTTCTCTTGCTTCTTGAAGAAACATGTCTGAATTTATAAAATCTTCGTGATTAAGCAGTTCCAAAGACAGGTACTGTTTTAGCTGAAAACTTTTAATTTTAACTCTTCCGTCATAAATGAACAACATTAGGATTAGGTTTTCTATGCATTGGCTCCCCATATACTAAAAGGCATATTATATACATATTTTTCTTAATTCTATTGAATGTATTGTGAAAAAATGTACAGCTTATATACAGAAAACTGCTTAATGTCGTATATACTGTATATTCTTTTCCTGTAATGTAACAGATAATCTGCATTCATAAAATAGAAAACCAGCCTCATGTTTTTACACCATGAATTCCACGAAAACATAGTAACTGATGAAATATGAAATTAAATGCAGTGACTCCCAACATTTTGTAGCAAATGTCCATAAATTTATCGTGACATTTGCTCACTTTCCAAAATGGACAAAGTTGAAGTCCAATAAACCTGTTGCTCGGATAGCGACTAGTCTTGTAAAATGTCTGTTGCAATGTACTCCTGGTATTAGAAAAACACTCTTCCAAGTTCAAACATGACCTGCAACATAAAACAAAATTTTGCTAGCTTATATGCTTATTTGGCTGATTTCTATTTTTAGTGTTCGCACAAAGTGCTCCATGTCAAGGCATCAGGGATCAGTAAAACCAAAACCAGAAGAATAAGATTATTATTTTGGGGGGGGGGGGGGGCTGAGGGAAACCCCAAAACAGCAGAATGAATTCTACACAGTGGTCATGGAATGGGAACAAATGGGGAAGGGCTAAAGAAAAGAGAAGAATTGTAAAATGTGTGGAGACCTGAACAAAGAGTACACCGCATCACTGCTACACTTCTGCAAGTTTATTGAATTTAGATTTTTTCCCCCAGTATTGTTTTGAAATCCAGCCCTTCCAAACTTTTTAACTATTTGGCACCTGTTTACTATGGCTGTATTAGGACAGGGCTATTTGATTTATAATAGTAACCAGGGAATTTATTATTAAATTTATGTCAGCCATCTCATGGTTTGAGGCAACTCTGATTGATTTTATAATAAAACAATGACAGATTTTAAGCGGAGCAGCAGTGGTGCCTTCTGTTACTGTATCAACCATTTCCAGCCTATGGCTTTTCCTTCAGAGTGCCTATGCCAGAAGAGAGGGAAGATCTCATCTCTGGTGGCAAGAAGTTCCAAAGTATGGGGGGTATGTGGCAAAAAAAGGATCATCTCCTGGACCCCACCAGACAAATTCCTCGGCTGATGGGATCTGCAGTAGGCTCCTGCCAGGAGGAGGAGTGGGCTGATCCCATTGGGGAAAGATTTCTCAGATATCCTGGACCCATGCCATGCAGAGCTTTAAAGGCTTTAACCAATATCTTGAATTGGACCTGGAAGCACATCAGCATCCAATGCAACTTGTGTTAACTCATGTTACATGTGCCACCTAGATGCTTCCAAAACTGCACTGCTACATTCTGGACCAATTGTAGATTCCAAATATTCTTCAAAGATAGCCCCATGTACACTACATTGCAATAATCCAAATGAGAGATGACCAAGACACAAATGATTGAGGGCATGGCCTCACAATTCAGGAAAGGGCACAGTGTGCATACCACAGTTATGCAAAGGCCGTTCTAGCCACAACAGCCACCTGCTCTTTGAGCTAGAGTCCCAAGTACAGGAGAACTCCCGTGTTGCACACCAGATCTGTCTGGTAGTGCCATCTCCTCCAGAACAGATTTATTTGTTCTTCAGTAGCCACCTTTGCTTTGATGTCATTTGCTGCTAGGAAGGCCTGGATAGGCAAGATTTAGTTTTTCTATTACTCCCTTCTGTCTCTATCCACCTTGTCTGCCTGCATATGAACTACCGTATTTTTCGGTGTATAAGATGCACCTTTTTACCCCCAAAAAGGGGGTGAAAATCTGGGTGCATCTTATACGCCGAATGTAGCCCCGCCCACCCACTGGCCCCCACCCTTCGGCCATTTTCGGCCAGTTCCAGGCGGCAGGGATCTGAGTTGGGGCACAGCCTGAGGAACAACCCTCCCTCTTCGGGACGGGGGAATCTGCCCAGCAGCTTTGGGGAACAAGGCGGGTGCCACGATTTGCGGCTGGTCACCCCTCTGGCCGCACTGACTTCACTCCCCAGCAATGTGAGGAGCCGCCGCCGCCTAACCCTCTCTGTGCCCAGGAGCCAAGCTGAGCTGAATGGGAGCCCCTAAAGGGAAACGTTCCTCCTTTCCAGCCATCGCTGCCCGGATTCCAAAATGCAAACCTCAAGAGTCGCGCTTCAGGTGGCGGCCAGTTCCCCTGCAATGTGCAGCGGGGAACTGGGAAGTGCTTTGGATTCGGGGAGGGGATCACGGGTCTGCCGCCCAAACCCACGATTCCCTTCCCGATTCCAAACATGGGGTGTGTGCAGAGACAAAAAAAAGTGCACCGTGTTTCAAGCGGCGGATCTGGCCAGGAAGAAAGAGAAGAGTCTGCTGAGAAGGAGGACGGGGGCGTGCGGCTCTGCAATGTGCAGAAAAACACTTTTAGGCATCAGCGCTACAATTTCATCCCCAAATCCAAAGCACTTCCCAATTCCCCGTTGCACATTGCAGGGGAACTGGCCGCCACCTGAAGCGCAACTCTTGAGGTTTGCATTTTGGAATCCGGGCAGCGATGGCTGGAAAGGAGGAATATTTCCCTTTAGGGGCTCCCATTCAGCTCGGCTTGGCTCCTGGGCGCAGAGAGGGTTAGGCAGTGGTGGTGGCGGCTCCTCACATTGCTGGAGAGTGAAGTCAGCGCGGCCAGAGGGGTGACCAGTCGCAAATCGTAGCACCCGCCTTGTTCCCCAAAGCTGCTGGGCAGATTCCCCCCCCTGTCCCGAAGAGGGAGGGTTGTTCCTCAGGCTGTGCTCTGTCCCTCCCCCCCCAGAGCATGCTAGGGGTCTCTTTGGGGGAAAGCGAGTAGTCCCTGCACCTCTCGCAGGAGGAAGAGCAGGGCGGCGCCATCTTAAATGCTGGTAGGCAGAGGTAAAATACTTTTTTCCTTGTTTTCCTTCCCCAAAATTAAGATGCGTCTTATACTCCGGTGCGTCCTATACACCGAAAAATACGGTAAGTTTTTGGGTAGTTATTCTTGCCTGTGTTCAGAAATTGTACTTGCTGAAAGCTTTAGTAATTAGTCTACTAGTTGAGTTTAGCATTGGAATAGGGATTTACAACTTTTTACCCCCCAGAGAGCAGCATTTAGCCTTTCCTTTCAGTTGTGGAGCCAGAAACAAAAGATAAATGTTATTTAATTAAACATAATTACTATGATTACTCCTCATGTATTCAATCCACTCTCATCCTTTCCCTTTGCATTATATATTTGGAGAAACTCAAGGCCATTCCTATGATTTGGGGTACTGCAGCATGAGTAAACTTCATACCCTCTGGTATGGATACAACACTATCCAGAAAGGTTCTGTGAGCTTGGAGTGGTGACAGTGAGAATGACGTGGGATGATAATATACTTAAAATCTAGTTACCAATTCAATAGAGTGGATATTCAGCTATAAGCCTTGATCCTAATGCTTGCTTTCCACAATGTTGAGACAAAGACCTTTAGATAGTAAGAATTTCAAGACTGGAGGACAGAATTTCTAGGCCTTTGCTGAACAAGTAATATTTAATAAAGAATACATGACTCAAATGATAACAGAGGAGGAAGTTGCCATTGTATTTTTGATTGGGACTATTTTGCATCATTGAATTCTTAAACAGTACTTTTGGCAACACAAAGTGAAATAGGCAATAGAATATTTAATACATGTAAACAGCATGTAACATTAAATTACCATTAAATCTTTGTTCAGCCTACATACCTTGCACAACTCATGGAATATACAAAGTGATCCAACATGCACTGTAATGAATTTATAAGTTGGTCTGATTTATATGGCTATAAAATAAGGCTGTGAGTGTCTATTAAAGTAAAGTAGTATAGTAAAATTGACAAGCTATTGTACTATTCTGATTTCTCTATTTTTAAATAAATTTATGGAAATTATTTTAAAGTTATTTGGAAACTTGTCCCTTGTCTAAGGAAACTGAATTTTTAAATACTCTTCAGTGAACTTGTCAACATTCTGCATATGTTTTAGGAAACAATTTTAGTAAACCAACCTCTATTGTGATGAGTATTACTATCATCCATTCCAAGCGCAGAGCATGTTTTTCATTCAAATGATTTCTCATCAGATCTGTCAGTTCTGTGCACTGCTGCAGCTTTTCATTTACTACCTTCAGTAGTAAGGATAGAAAAGTTGATGTTTCAGAAAACCTTGAATAAACAATTTCTTAATATAAGTTACTTCCAGAGGTGAATTTATTGAAATCAAAAATATGGAGAATTACATCACGTTTCTATAAACTGAATACATTAGAGTAGCTAAGACTAAGCATTCAGAACAATTCTTAGTCTTGGGACATGTGACTTTTCAGCATTCACACAATAGATTGCAACATGTAAATCACTCCCATAATTCCAGGCTTTAATTTCCTTTCTCCACTTGCATGCATTTATAAAGTTAAATAGAAATATCCTTGTCTATTGAGTATTTCTTGTATCAAACATAACGAAATATTTCGGTGTCAGCCCTCATCACAATTGCCCTCTGAAGCATTTAGCTAAATTGTGTAAGATACCTATCGTAGCCTAGTATACTTCACTAAATAATAATCAAGGTTTAAGTCTAGTTTAGCAAAACTCAGCTAACAATGCAATAAGGTTAAATATGCCCAAACCTTTAATAAAGTTAACAGCAGAGAATTTCAACATAAAATTAGAAGCAAATCCTGAAACAAAGCCGAATGTAAAACAGTTCAGTTTGGCAATGTGAATACATATCTATTTTTATATATTCACATAGATTGCCTAATTGCAGCATTTTACTCCTGAAAAGCCATAGCTGAAGATTCTCTATCATAGAACATAGGGGGGCAAAAAAGCTTCCTGTGCTCTTTTATTTGCTACCTGAAAAAAATTACTTAACTTAAAAAACAATTTTGAGATACATGGGGCACAAATGTGTCAAATTTCACTATGAAATTGTAGTTAAATGCTGCAGAATCTAAAGGTAACTTATATATCTATCGAAGTTAGTTTATGATTATTAAATTACTACTAATACTTATTCCATGCAGGCATTATGTATCTTGTGGGCCAGGCCATACTTGAATCTATACATAATGTGAATTCTATAAAAAAAATCTATTTTTTTAAATCCATGGTTCCTCAAATGGAATTGTCAATTGCATCATATCTCATTGGACTGTGAAGATTCTGTGCATTACTTTAAAGACAGTAGTGAGGCCATTTTATTCCTGAATCCCTTTGTTCATACACAGGCAAAACACTGTCATGGAAGCAATCACATCTTAGAAAGCAAATCTATAATTTTTTTTACTTAATTTCATTTCAAACAACTGGGCTATATCAAGGGCATCCAAAAACTACCTGTTCAATCTGTTACTGAATTAAAACATATTTACATACTAACACTACCTATAATATAGTCCAGAAACCAGTAAGAATATGTGGAATCTAGAGAAAGTTTCATGAATATTGTTACAGATTGCTATCGCAGTGAGCTGGTTCATCCTAAATAATGATGCTCTGTAAAGCTAAACTGATCCCTGCTATACTACTATGCATCAAAAACATTTCAGAAACAATCAGATAATTACAACCATGTGGCATCACTGTAGTGCATAAATCAACTTAAGCCCTCCAAATCATGTTATATAAACAAATAACTTAGTAGCCCAAGAAGAAAGAACAGGACTCATCTATAACAAGGCGTAAGAACTGTAAAAGCTAGTATGTAGGACAGACAGGCAGAAGATAGCAGAGCGCATCCATAAACATTATTTAGCAACTGAAAGATACAATGAAAACTCACAGCACATAGAAAGATTGAACTGTAATTTCAACTGGAAAACAGCATCCTATACCCGTGATGGCGAACCTATGGCATGCGGAGCCATATCTGTGGGCACAAGAGCGTTGCCTTAGTTGAGTCTGCGCGGTGACCAGCTGATTTTTGGGTCTTCCAGTCCCACCAGAAGTCGGGAAACGCGCCGTTTCCGGCCTCCGGGGAGGTGGGAAAGGCTGTTTTTGCCCTCCCACTTCCCACCCAAGAAAGCCTCTGGAGCCTGGGGAGGGTAAAAAAACAGGTCTACTGGGCCCACCACTAACCTTTTTGGTGTTGCGTGCCAAAAGCAGGGGGAGGTTGTGTGTGCATGTGCGGGGGCATGGGGGAGGCATTGAATTATGGGTGTGGGCACACGCGCGCTCCCCTCCATGCGCTCCCCATGCTTTTGGCACGCGACAGCAAAAAGGTTAGCCATCACTGTCCTAGACCAAACTAAATCCAAAAAAACTATGGAATTCCTGGAAGCTTAGCTTTCAGACAAGTTCATCCATTAATAGACACATAGAGATAAACTGCATTTACACACCTTTCAAACGAGACAATTAAAAAAGCTAAGAAACAAAAAGACCAGAACACATTCTCTCCAGCAACCTACACCCAGTTAATCAGGGATTAATCAGGGTTAATCAGACAAAACAAGCAAACAGCAATACTCTAGTTAAGGAACTACCAAAGAAAACGTTACACTTCCACCAACACCAGGAAGGCAAGCTACTGTATATATAAAGAGAGGGCAAGCCCCACACTCAGCACTATTACTTTGTCAATAATGAAACATCTGCAAGCAAACAACCACGCTTAGACAGTACCAATGACTCCACAGTTAAACCCTGACCTACTTATGTTCTCTTCTATTGAAAAGTGAGTTTTATGGAAAGTAGTACTTTATGTTCATAAGTTCTTGATTTAATTTCTAAACATTTTTTTTGTTACCGTCTAATGATCATTTTTTTCTAGGGAACACCAAGATACACTTCTGCAATATCCCCATAGCAATATATTGTACATGTTTTAAGAAAAAACATTCAAGTAATTTTTAGAGTCAACCATTAATCATTAAAGTACTCTAGAAAAAGCAAAACAGCAGAGAATCTGTAAAAGCAGGCTTCTGTGTAAAACTGTACTTGCTAAATATTGGTGACAACTGTTCCTCCACCCGTCAGAATTACATGGATTTAAGAAAAAGGGTAAACTTGTCATAAAACCTCCCCGAAAGTTACAGAATGCATTGGTTATGTTTGTATAAAACAATAAAGCTAGAATCTGACTTATTCACAATAACATGTTGAAGCCCACTGCCTGATTGTGCCTAAAGCATTCCTCCTGGTAGTGGGAACAGCTATATAAAATCACAAGAAAGAAGCATCTCAGAACTAGCATTTTATGCAAATAAAAAATAATATTTATAAATTGTACATAAAAGAAAAAGTGCAACAGACAGAATAACAATGTTTGTCCAAAAACAATGTAGATAAAAACAGAAAAATAAGATTTGTTAAGAGAAGCAATTGTTTTTTTTAAAAAATCCTCCAAAGCTTAGATAAAAATAGTAAAATATTACCTTAACTCTGCGATCAATACTGAGAAACCGATGCATTTTATCATACAGTTGTTCAAGATGTTCTCTGTCCCAGTAGAAATCTGGGGTAATCAACAGATCAGAACTCAGATTTATATGATGCCTAAGGAAGAAAATTTCTTATTTAAAAACCAGGTAATGAATTGTATTTTGCATACTGCACTGTTATAAGTTGAGACAAACAAGTACTCTTTGGACAAACATCCTTCATGTAGCAAAAAACTTTGTTACATTCTCACAGCTATAGAATTTAGAGTTAAGTTTTCAATCTCCAAATAAACATTCTATTCTTTTAGAACCTGATTAAAGTTTTATATACAACATGTTATCACTTTTTATTCTGATATTACTACTCCTGATAACTTGGGAAGAAAATACAATTTATCAACTTTACAATTTAACTGCATAAGCATAATCATTTCCAGTTTTTAATACATTTATATCATGAGTCACATCTCCACAAAACCCCTCGCATAGTGATTTTTGCATCATTTCATGGCGCATATTCTAATTATTCAAACATTCTTGACATTTCAATGGCATGTGACTTGGGCTTAGCTTAATGAGTCTTTCCATTGTATTTAAGACTATTTCCTATTCTTTAGGTTTTTGTTCCTTACAAGGGTTTGCATGTTCTCTCATAGAGAATTGAAGAGTAAATGTTACTTTTTGCTATAAACATAAAACAATTTAAAAGACTATGCTAGATTTATAGGTAGAAATATAAGAATCACTACAGAAAAAAACTACTGGTATTAAAAAAAAAACAATATACAATGGGATTAGTTTGAAGGAGGTTTATCTTTGTGCTGATAGTTAATACTACATAGTGGCACATAATAAAAAATAAGGACTGGCTAATAAACCACATTTTAACCGGACAATAACAAGATGCTTATTTTTCTATTAAATATTATTTAGTTCTGTTAAAGGACAGAAGGACAATAGTCTAGATGCAGAAGAGAGAAATATAATTGTATCACTTTAGAAATATCACATATTTAAAAAGCGGATTATACATGGCAGTATATTCTATATATATATATATATGTGAATATTATCTTGTTGTTGTTTTTTGTTAAAGATTGCTTTTAAAACTGACTCTAAAATGTAATCTTTTTGCTTGTCTTTAATTCAGATACCTCAAGGCAAACAGTTCCCCAATTTTCTGCATAACATCAGCATGAGACAGTTTCAGTTTCTTTCTTAATTTAAGCATCTGTAAGAGAGTAATAAACCAGTAAGAATATTGATGGTTTTTTAGATGTACAATATTACTCACCCCCGATGACAACTGCACTCTTCACTTGAACTGGCAGAAGCAATCCTGATGATAATAAAGATCTATCCTGAATTTCATATTAACTTTGGGAGGTGGGATAGGCAGTCTTGCTATAGATGGTTTGTGATAACCCTATTGTCATGGCTGGAGAACTTCCTGACAAAATTTAGGTTTAAATTAAGATCTATCCTACAGGACAGAGAGATCAATTAAAATGATCCATTCACTTATGTTATCTGATGAATATCTCAGCATTCTACAAAAGTTTCCAGGAAACAAAGAGGATGAATCCTCAAGTAGCTATGCAACAAGCTTTTATAGTAACACAAATCTATAGTATTATCTATTTTGAAGAAATGTAAATATGGCTTGCAAATGGGGATAGAGTGAGTCAACAGCTGAGGGGGACTTTTCCAAATAAGCTTGTTTTGATTTTGTTTCAGGTAAAATGGGGCAGAGAGAAACTTTGACAGGCTTGCAAGATTCAGTCATTCTATCTATAATAATCACTGTTGTGCCTGTTTCTTGATCCTACTTGCCCTAAAGGGTTGACACTATCCTAATATATTCACTTAGTATCCTACTGTGATGATTTGAATGGCACCTTAAGAACAGAATACTTCACACTAATGTAAACACATTGTTCCAGGTCCAAATTCCTTGTCTTCTCCAGTTTAATGGAATCCTTTTCAGCCTGAGAATGTAGACCACAAGGAAGTGGTGGTTCACCCTATTGTTCTCTTGATCCTTGACTATCATGGCTAATTAACCAACCAACCAAGAGAGAATTGTCCAGGTGGATAAATATTGAATGCATTTTATCCTAAATGGAACATCTCTGGTGCCCTTCAAAACTTTTGTAACACTTTCCCCCCAAAAGAAATCTTGCAGAGCACACAATGTAGAAGCACCCTTGAAAAAAGAATATTTTCCAAAACACATTGGTCTAAATCAAGCAGGTGGTGTAAATCTAGGAGGACTGGTTCACTGGTTCTGTCTGATGCAAACCAGCCCATGCAGAACCAAAGATGACAAATCCCCATGATTTATTCAAAGGAATTAGATATTCTCTTATCATGTTTTTATAAGACCCAATCTTCAATTCACGTCCTTACGTTTTGCTCTTCACTACTATCTGTGGAACACAATATTTTGCCATCTTCAACATACAACTGCTACACTGATTCTTTTTTCTTTTACTTTGAACATATCTAAACAGCTTTCTTTTTTTCTTAGTATAATATGCCAACCATTTTGAATTTAGCTTTCCTGGCACCTTGTCTAGAGTTCTGAGCATCTATACTTTTTATTGATGGCCTATTCCTCTTTCTAATCCTATATTTAACCCTGTTACAGATATCCATTTTCTAACAAAAGGATCACTTTAGCATATTCTATCATTTTCAAAGTGAGTAAGAAATAATTCTAAGTTTAACTGTGAGAAGTTAATTTTTTATATTTCAAATTTGCATGCAGGTTTTTCTTCTTGGCATCCTATATATTGAAGTTTATTGACATGAGCATTCATAATAAACATGTCAATCTACATTCAAGCAAAGAGTTTCCCACAACAAACATAAAATGGGCATAATTAAAACAACAGGGTTTTCCCTTTAGACACATGAGTTTAATTAAGAATTTTGTAAAGTCAAATTTAATACAGAGTTTCACTTAAATTTTGATCTGGCAAACAAATCTCAATTTGTTTCTTCTGCCCAAGAACAGATGGTAAATACAACAATCCAAATTCATTCATCTATGGTGTTAAAAATCTGCAAATTTCCCATACTTAATTTTATGGAAGAATGAAAAAAATAGTAAGTACCTCAGGTATTGATTGAATAGATTCTACAAAATTATCCAATGATGCTTCCCAAATGGCCAGTTTTACTACATTAGAGAAAAGCATAAAAATGTATTATTCACTTCCAAGTTTTATCACAAAATAAAATATTTAAATTTTTACTGTCCAATGCTTGACAAATAATGTTGATATGCTGATTATTGCTTTTAGACTTACAAATTTCTGATTTTAACTGAGGGACAGGAATTTGTCTTCTGTTAACCTGGTATGTTCTTTTTGACATAGTGTAATATAAAAACCCAGCTTGCACGATATAATATAATTTGCAAATCAAGTCAAAATTGTTTTTTCAAGTATTTTTTTAAAATCCTGGCCTAGTGTTTTATATGAACCATGTTACCATTTTATATGAACCTACCAATTATTTCTCTGCTCTAAGTAGCAACTAAGATGGTTAAAGGCCTAGAGACAAAAACATGAGAGGAATGGTTGCAGGAATTGGGTATGGCTAGTCTAGAGAAAAGAAGGACTAGGGATGACATAACAGCAGTATTCCAATATTTGAGGGGCTGCCACAAAGGAGGGGTCAACTTGTTTTCCAAAAGGCAAGACTAGAAACAATGGATGGAAGCTAATGAAGGAGAGAAGCAACCTGGAATTAAGGAGAAACTTCCTAACAGTGAGGACAATTAACCAGTGGAACAGCTTTGCCTTCAGAAGTTGTAGATGCTTCATCACTGGAGGTTGCTAAGAAAAGACTGTAAAGCCACCTGTCTGACATGATTATAAAGTCTCCTGCTTGAGCAGGGGTTGGATTAGAAGACCTCCAAGGTCCCTTCCAGCTCTATTCTGATTGATAATAGTTTTCCTACTAAAAGGTAAAGGTAAAATTTCTGCTGCCCCTATTCAAAATAAAATACTCTATTCCCAATTCACATAAGATTCAATCATAAACCTCCCATTTCATGCCTCTTTCAGCCCAAAGGGAAACATTACTTTTATGATATTATTTTCTACAAAGTAGGAATGCTTAAATTTTATGCAGTCTACTAAAGGTAATACACATTGTTTCTTCTGTTTCTCAGAAGTGGTTTGACATTGCCTCCTTACTAGGGCTGAGAGAAAGTGACTATCCCAAGGTCACCCAACTGACTTTGTGCCTAAAGCAGGACTAGAATTAACAGTACTAGCCTGATGCTTTACCCTCTTCATAAAACTAGCTCTCAAAGGTAGTATTAAGGGTCAAAGGTCTACAGTGAAGCATAAATTATTTGCAATGGCATAATCTATGTACTACCAAAATTTTTGTCTATCAAGATTCTCAGTCATCCAGTTGTATCAACAGTGTTATTTTTGAAAAGCACAGCTGCCTTTTCAAAAATAAAAATCACTTTTTATATTAAAACTTTTGTTATCATGACTTTGAACTAGGCAAAACACTGTTCATAGAGTAACAAATTTTGAACCAAGGTCCCTCAAATGAGTTAACCTAGAGTGAGTCCCCAAAATCTGGCATCATGATTCCTTGAGGAAATGAAATCTGGAAAAGTTGTTGCTGCTTCAGTGTTATTGGCTGCTATTGCAGTTACATGATTTTTAGTTTGTGACAGTTTGCCAGTTAGTCTCACAATCCCTTGCTCCCTCTCCCACTCAGCAACAGCCACTTACCTGCCTATTGGAGGGGGAAAGGGGAAGAGAGAAAGGAAGGGAATGAAGATTTCTGATGTTCCCTGCCAAATTTTCACAAGGAAACACAATGGGGAAGCCGGCAGGAAATTGAAAGTTGCTCCTGCTCCCATTGTTTTTTGGTCCACCCTTGGTCATTTGTTTTCCCTGTTTAGGTAAGAAAATATCTTTGAAACAATGACCCAACAAGGCACAGGTTGTCTGGTTCCTTCCTTCCCTTCATTTTCTCTTTCTCTCTTTTTCAGTCAGTATGCAAGAGAAAGTGCTGTGAGACTGAGCAAATTCTTCAAAATAGTTGTAGCTATAGATGTTTCATGCAGAGTATTTTTTGAGTGTCTTATACATTATAAATGCATTCATGAACTCCATTTCCTCCCAGATTTCAAGTAATAATACAGATCATTAAATGAAATTATATGATGGACAGCTTACCAGAAAGGCAGAGAGCATTGGAAAAAGCAAACTTCTCTAAAATGAAATCGTCCATTTCTAATTCTGAATTTATCAAGATTTCTCCTCTATGAAGTTTTGACTGCCCTCTGCGAAAAAGATATGAATAGATTACATTAGGTTCAAGCAATTTACTACTCCCCCATCAGTTTCAGCCAGCATTACCATTGGTCTAATAGTGAATCAAATGAGTATTAGAAGAACTGGTAGGTCTGTGTAATAAAACATGAGCAGGTATCCTTCAGTCTGTTCATAAGAATACCAAAAAAAATAAAATTTAGGAGTAGTTGACCTAACATGGGTCTTATTCCACAACTTACAACTACAATCGGGATCAGAATCTCAGTCATTGAGTGAAGCGGTCATTAAGTGAGATGTCCATGTAACTGCTTCACTTAATAACTGCAACCTGGCATTCCCAATTCCAGTTGTTAAATGATTGCCTGGGTCATTGAGCAGCTGGAGTGAAAGAGCTGACTGTGCGATGGAATGTGCAGCTGGAGAAGGAGGTGGAGGGAATGTCAGCAACAGCTTCCCAAAACATCACTTGTTTCTTGTTTTATAGTGGAATATTTTTTATGAAGAAGTTTATGAAATACCTAGATGCTATGATACAACTTGTATCTAAATGTATGTTCCAGAAATAATTAATTTGTCAAAATTTCTACCCTTATTAGCCTGTGGCTTAAATGGAAAACTCCGTGAGTTTATGATATTCACATACTTACTCTCCTCTTCTATAGCTGATCTCTTCATTTTCCCAATGAACTAGCGCAATTTCATAAGGCTGGACCTCATGTTTTTCCAGCTTTCGAAAAATATTCTTTATCTGGGAAACAGATTGTAAATTAAAGCTGCTAGCAAGTTCTGAAGATGTGTAAGATATATTTAAACTATTGACCAAAGTGCCCTCACTCTCTTGTGAGAAGAAAATTGTGTCAACAAGAAATAAAAAGGAAAACAAAATAATTCCATATTCCAGTCTTTTCCTCATAAGTATTTGCACAAGATAGAGAAATGTTTACAAGGAAAAATTGGCTAGAGGTTGTAAATTTGTGCCCATAAACACCCTCATGCATTTATATGTTTATAACCCAGGTTATAAGAGTTGTGGTGGCACAGTGGTTAGAATGCAGTATTGAAGGCTAATTCTGCTGTTTGCCAGGCTGTTTGCCTTGATCGACTCAAGGTTGACTCAAACTTCCATCCTTCCGAGGTCGGTAAAATGAGGATCCAGATGGTTGGGGGCAATATGCTGACTCTGTAAAACGCTTAGAGAGGACTGTAAAGCACTATGAAGTGGTATATAAGTCTATTGCTAGTGCTACCATATTAAAATTAGAAAGCAGCCTTATTATTTTAGAAAAAAATAAGAATTTGTTAAAGAAAATTAGCAAAATCACAAAAATTAAAAAGAACCTTTCTTTCTAGGTATTTTCTTCCTACAAATGCTATCTTATCCAACATTCATGTTACTTTGATGAAGGCTAATTTGGAAATCCTTGTTTCTCAAAACAATGCAAGTTTCCTTCTAGAATCTGGCTGTACTTTTGCATTTCCATAACTCACTCTATATACCATTCCTGATTATTTTACCATGATGAATATCAAAAAAGTCTTTACTATATTCTCAAAAAAAAATCTGCAGCTAGATATAAAACCACTGTGAAATAGTTGGGAAATTATGTAATTTGAATCCTTTGGAAGACATGGCATCACAAAAGAACAATACTAATAAAGCAGACTGGAAAGTTAAATATAAAAATGGTTAATAACACTTGCTAAATGTTTTGAGGAGATAGCATTTCAACATACAAGAAAAAGATGGGGGTAAATCACAAAAACCTAACAATAAATAAAATCCAAAATCAAATATGAACTATTAATCTATATGAGAAATCTGTATCTTCTTTTCTTCCCTTTGTTGTTACGCTGAATATAACTAAGACTTTCCTCCTTTATGTGTTGTTACAAGTTCTGTGCCAACATACTGATTGGATTAATTCTTATTTTTTCGTTTGACCCTAACTGTGAGACCCCTGAGTCAGATAGTTTCTTTTGACAGAATACAATCTGCTCTTAGGTTAATAAACCCATTTCTCTTTTTTCATTAGAAAGCAGATTGAAATAGACAGGTATGTCAGAACTACTAATCATTAGCAAGGAGAAAACTGTCTTTCATTTTAGATGTCATCTTAGTATTTACATGGTTCTACAAGGATATTGTTTAGAAATATGCTAACTCAGACTTTTCAAATGGGTCTTAGTATGTTAATGATGTTACAGTGATTAACTATATAACAGTTAATTTCATATGGTCTGAATAAGAGTAACTTTAGTTAACAGACTAGGTCTTGTTATTCACCTGTTTCCTTCTGAATTAGAATAAAGGTTCCAAAAAAAGTAGGACAATTTCACTTTACTTAAATCATCAAATTTTTCTGATTTGATTGTGTTCAGAGCTAATTTGCTCTTTTATTTCACTCTCTGGAAGGCTGTAAAGTTCTTTCACTTTAACAAGCCATATGGTATTTTCTATAGCTGGATGCTCTTCCAGCAGGTGCAATTATATCTTCTGTTTCTCAATGTATTCAAGGAAGGAGATGCCATTTTTTAAAATATTTGTATCATACTACAGCATTCTAAAAATAAAACTAATAGTCCAAGAAAACAGGTTATGTCAGACATATTATAGTTAACCCTTATTCCATTTCAGAAGGTAATTTATAAGTAATTTATTAATATGTTAATTACCCTCATTCATACACCAAAAATAGTTTACCTCCAGAAACCTGCCTTCCACTTACTGTTTTTTCTTCAACATTCCAAAACACAACAGACCCTTCCCTATAAGAAAAAAAAAATACAAATTAATGTTAAACTAATGGGTTGTATTTTAAGTTTCAAAAATGCAATTCCTAGAAAGAAGCCAGTACCCTATTATTACAGTATCCGAATGATATTTGTTTTAGAGATCTTTAGAATAGGGGGCAATGCAAAGAATTTTAGTGATACCAAGAGTCTTAAAGATTAATATTCAACTGAAATAAGAACCTTTCTTGCTGGGACAAATAGACAACTGGAAAAAAGTTATGGAAGATTATTTTTGTATGTGATAATCCACAAGATTATTATATGCCCAAAGTCGAAGGACTCTGAATTACCTAGAATGAAGGAATGTTGGTGAAGATGACAGAATTTGAAGAGGGCAAAATTGATTTGTTTGGTTAGGGTTAACTATATTTGTTAGCGACTGGAAACCCCTTATGGACTTTTTGCTGAAAATAGAAAAAAAATGATATTATGATTAATGGGTTTGATGATTAGAAAGAATAGAATATGGGAAGAAGGAAGCCACAATATAACCATAAGAGAGAATAAAATATAAATGCATTTATAACTGCTGTAAACAAGATTAGAAGCCATTTCTTTATGTACATATTTTTCCTGTCTTATCTACAATTTTTCCTTGCTCTTCTTTTTCTTAGTTCTTAGTTAATTCTGCCTAGCAGAAATGAAATTTCTGAGGATGACACAAATGAAACAGCAACCTTTTTTCTGGCTATGGATACTTGTTTCATTTTTGTCTTAGTTTCTACACTACACTTAATTCTCAATTTATGACCACAATTGAGACCAAAATTTCCATTGCCAAGGAAGTCAGCTAAGTGGGTTTTGCCTCATTTTACAATTGTTTTTGCCACAATTGTTAAGTGAATCATTGCAGTTAACTGAACATTGCAGACATTAAGCAAATCTGGCTTCCCCCATTGATTTTCTTGTCAGAAGCCAGCTAAGGTGGTTACAAATGGCAATCACCAGGACAGTGCAACTATCATAAATACATGTCAGTTGCCAAGTGCCCGAATTTGATCACATGACCATGGAAATGTTGCAGCAATCATAAGTGTGAAAACTGGCAATAAGTTACCTTTTTCAGTGCCATTGTAACTTCAAATGACCACTAAATGAAATTTATTTATTTATTTATTTATTAGATTTTTATACCGCCCCCTCTCCCGAAGGACTCGGGGCGGTGCACAGCCAAAGTTAAAAACATACAATATAAACAATTAAAATACGTTTAAAACAGAATTAAATCTAAGATGGCTCCCCAATTTAAATGGTTGGTGAATGGTTGTGAGGACCACTTGTAGTTATTGGTAGGTTTCTTGACTAAATTCCAAGTATTGGAAGAGCCATGATGGTTAGAATGCAGTACTGCAGGCTAACTCACTGCTCATTCCAGGAGTTCAATTCTAAACGGCTCGAGGTTGACTCAGCCTTCCATCCTTCCGAGGCCGGTAAAATGAGGACCCAGGGGGTTGGGAGCAATATGCTGACTCTATGAAGCTGTATATAAGTCTAAGTGCTGTTGCTATTGGTCATTACCCTTAAAGCCCTAAAGAACATGGCATCAAGATTCATAGGGACCAACTTACCAAACAAGATTCTGCCTGTTTGATCCAAATACTAAAAGTGGGCTTGCTGGAAGCCCTACCTCCACCTGAAGTAGGAGAGGTATGGGTTAGAAGGCAGGTATTCTCAATAAAAGCCGCCATAGAAGCTTTTCAAATCTATTTAGCACCAAATCTCCTTATGTTTTGGAAAGCTCTGAAAACGATTTCCATTTAATAATATTTGATTCATAGAGTAAAACTGTGGCCAATCATTTGATTGTTTTGTTCCTTATAATATTTCTGTATGTTTTAATAAGCTTGATCTTTTCTCCTTCTTGTAAATGCCCTAAGGCTGCTTGATTGGGGAGTTCTACAAATATTGTACATAAATAATCATCACTAAAATTATGAATGATACTGAAGAAATAAATCTGTAATTTTCCTTTAGGTGGGAATGAAAAATTTAGCTCACATATGTCATATTATTGGTCTTTACTTACTTGAAGAAAAATATGATCCCCAAATCATGATCTTTGGCTGTCTTTTCTGTGCCAACCACCAAAACATTTGCTGCATCTAGTTTTCAAAAAATCTTATGTGAAATTATATTATAAAAAATAGAAACAATCACATTTAGCATGCACCTTATGTCACTATGCAAGACAATCTTTTACTAAGTATGTCTCTTTCAAATCTAACTGCTCTCCTGGTTACTTCATCAATTAGTCTATTTCCCATCTATCTTATGGCCCTCATATTCATTGTAGGATTCCATCGAAATATTAAATTGGACAATCCAGTTTGCTTTCTGAATTGAGACAATATTAATTAAAAGCTGCTAACTGGTAAGGTTCTGTGAGGTTTACAAGTTATAAATTTGAACAAAATTGTGCTGTGTGTCACATGTGGTGCAAGCATATATCTAACAGAGCACTCTGACAATTCCAGTAGTTTCTCAGCAACAAACTATCAGAATAGAAATGAAGACAGAGAGACATTTGCAATTCCCATAATCTAAATTAAGCTACAAGCTTAACATCAGCCGTGGTGGTGCAGTGGTTAGAATGCAATATTGCAGGTTATCTGCCCACAGCCAGGACTTTGATCCAGACCAGCTCAAGATTGATTCAGCCTTCCATCCTTCTGAGGTTGGTAAAATGAGGACTCAGATTGCTGGGGGCAAAATGCTGATTCTGTAAACTGCTTAGAGAGTGCTATAGAGTGGTATATAAGTCTAAGTGCTATTGTTATAGCATGATCATTTCTAATAAAACTGAATTAATTATTAATTATCATTTATTATTAATAATTAATAATAATAATAATATTAATTATTATTATTATTTATTAATTATTATTAATTATTAATCTTCCAGCATTAATATAATAACACAAAGCTAATTAGTTATTCAAATTATCACTTCTCACATTTTTAAAATCAAACTTTATTTTTTACTAATGCTGGCAGAAATAGTTTATCTCCAATTCTTTATAGCCCTATTATTCACCTATCAGGTCTGTTCACTCTTCCCATCTCTAAAATTTGAATGAATCAGATTTCATAGATTTGGCAACCTCAAGATTGTCTTTAGGTATTACATAGTAATACAGACTATCACCTGAAAAGGAATGTTTAAGGCAATAGAGTGATTTTCTTTGCAGTAAAAATCATTAGGAATTGTCAAATTGGACAATTAAAGATTTTCATGTATTACTGATATTACTTATATGCAGTAAATTATTATTTCATTTCATTATTTCAGTGTTGTGTCGTCCTGTATTAGCTCCTTTCCTAGCTTATTCATTAACCCAAAAGCATTAATGCATGCTTGACATTTAATAGAATTACTTTATAATGTGTGACTGCCACATTATATCCTTAAAAACAGTTTTCATTAAACTCTGTGTGCTTTTTAGTTCCTTAAAAGAGCCCTGATTTGGGAAGGAAAATTGACTTGAAAGCAAACCATCCACAAACACTTATGTAGATGTACTTTTACACCAATTACCGTATTTTTCGCACTATAAGATGCACTTCTCCCCCCCCCAAAAAAAGTGGTGGAAATGTCTGTGCATCTTATAGGGCAAATATTCCGGGGTGGGGGTGGTTGGTGCGGTGGGGAGCGCAGTCACCTAGAACGGCTGATCAGCAGTATTCCAGGAGGCTGATCCAATCACCAATCAGCTGCTTGGCAGCAAAGGTTTCAGTGTTCCCCAGCGGCGGCAGCAGCTCAGCTCAGTTGACCGGTGGTGGGCTCAACGGAGCAGAGTCCTCATGAGCCAGGTGCTGGGGCTGTGATAACATGCTGAAGCTGACCAGGCTGTTTGCTGCTAGGATGCTAGCCAGATGAATACCGGATCGATGCTGGGAGGCAGAGGCAGATTTTTTTTTCTTGTTTTCCTCCTCTAAAGCTAATGAGTCTTATGGTCCGCTGCGTCTTATAGTGCGAAAATTACAGTATTCACTTCATTTCTTTGAAGTAAATGTTAGCATCTAGGCCACATTACAGCACATACTTAAGTATCAAGCAACATTTCTATAAAGCAAAACCTGTTTGATGATGTATATCTGAAAAAGCATCAGTAAACAATAAATGATCTACTTGAAATAACTGTTCAGAGCTCTACCTCTAGGTAATGTGATTTCAACATATCCAGATGAGACCAGGTCAAGGCATAGATTACCAAGATGATAGGCATCTGCTGTTGCAAAGGCTATACATTGCATCACATCCTATGCCAAAAAGAACAGAATTTCCTTTAGAAAACACTTAGTTGTCTCACTCACTAGAACTGCTACACTAAAGAGTGTTTGTTACACAAACTCATTGCTAGCATTTGGCCACTAGATGGCTAAATTTCTGCATAGAACCATAGTTGTTGTTTTTCAAAAGTCTTACACTTAAAAAGTTTCAAATTTGCATCGCTGATATATGGTTAGACAAATATCTCCTCTGGATCTACTGAGCAACTTCAATTATGTTCTTTGGAAGATTATGATTTAGAGAAAGGTACAAGTTTATATATTCATTACAAGTTTCACACTACACTATCAATTCTGGCAAATATAATTTGGCTAACTGCTTTGAGTTTAGCTCCAACATCTGCCGTTGATGTTAAGATATTTTGGTAAAGGCCAATAAGATGTGATCCTGTATGGCCTCTTATTCCCTAAACCCGGGTCCCCAACCATTGTCTGCAGCTCGGACCTGGTTTGAAACTGTTGGGAACCATGCTGTGCAAGCAATGGGTGCATGTGCAAGCAGTTCCCATTTGTGCAAATAGTGGGTACACATGCAAAACCATCCCCACCCAGACCACTGCTGCTGTTCTATGGAGCCAGAAAGGTTGGGAATCACTGCCCTAAAAGATAAGATGAAAGACTCATGTTCGAAAAGAGGTTATTTCTTATTTCACATAATAAGACATTGAATTTTGTATTCACCAAAGATTTTTAAATATCTCCCTATAGTGAGATCTTAGATCCTAGCCTTTGCAAAAATAAGATTTTCCCCAACACTCTGATTTCCAGCAGGTGGTGCTCCTCTTCAGTAAAAAGAACAAATTTATGTTTCAAATTGCAAATGTTTAATTTAAGTCAATGGTCTTATCTGGCAAAAGACTTCCATGTCGCAGGTTTTACTCAAAATAACTTAATTCTTTCAACCCTGAAATCTGTATTATCATTAGGAAGGGAACCCCATAACAAAATTATACTTACAAAAGCTCTTCCCCCTAAGTTTCAGTGTTCCCTAAATGCAGTGTATCTTCTTTATTAGCATTAGGATCATTAATCATGCAGAGTAATTTAGAAATAGTTTTCCATGTCACAATTACGAAAGTATCCCCTCAATAATTACATTCTTAATATGAGATTGTATTATAAATATAAATAGCAGCAATCCATTGGATAGAGTTATATTAGTTATTCCAAAGTTATTGGCATAACACACCCTATAATATACAGATTATTTAACCTTAAAGGAATAGAGAATGGAAAAGCTTTCAGTGTTAAAATCTTTTCACTTATAGTACAGAAGTCTTCAACTCTATATATAAATATAAATGGATTGTTTGTATTAGTCTAGAATTTTCTTCAAATTATTCTTGTAAGAATAATTCAAGTATATCTAAGATATAATATTTTTACTAATATATAACTGCCTTTTAACTCAATGACAACTTTAAAAACATTGTTCTGGGAATTATCAGTCATATTACAGTACTTTTAGTGCATTATACAGTTCAGTTACCCTTACAATAATTCTTTCATCAATGAAGAATAAAAAGATTCTGAAAAAGCTCCTAAAACAGACAAAAACACACAATTCAATTTAATCATTATTTTGCAATTATTAACATAAAGAATTAGGAAAATTAGATCCTTTTCCTAAATATCTCCTAAATTTTTGGAACATTGCTAATGAAGCACGTACTTATAAATTCACTATTAGCTCTATTTATAGTTTTCCACTGCAAATCTAATAATCTTCATTACGACCATAGTCTAGTATAACTCATTGCATTTATTCAAATCCTCATCTCAAATTTTGTCTAAGAATTCTCCTTCTGTTCAGAAATAACAAATGATCTGAACTCTCTCCATCAAAAAATAAAACAGAAATAATAGCATGGAGAGCCAATTTAGTGTAGTTTAGATTAAGGCACTTGGCTAGAAACTGGGACTATCAGTTCTAGTCCCACCTTTAGGTGACCTTGATTGATTCTCTCACTTTCAGCCCTAGAAAGGAGGCAATGGCAAACCACTGAAATTTGCCAAGAAAACTACAGGGACTTGTCCAGGCAGCCCCCAGGTATCAACATTGTCTCAAAAGACACGCACACACAAAAACCAACCAAACAAAAAATCTAGCATGAGGCAAAAGGAACTTATCAAAAAGGAATCAAGCCTCATCACTGTGACAAAAACAATAGCATCTTTTAGTAGCTCAAAGCAAAACATATTCAGTACGGTATAAAAACTTGTGGATTACAGAGTATTTCATTAGATGCATGAAATGTTGTCATCCTGAGTTCAGATTACCTTAGCTTCAGATGGTAGTGGCAGATTAATTCTTGATGGCTGCTTGGTCCTTGATGCTTTTGGTAGACGCTTAACTGGTACAATATCTTGATTTGGTTGAAGTTTACTAGGCGATAAAACTGAATAATGTCTATTGGGTATTCCAGTAAGTATTCTTATATGTTTTAATTTCTGCTTAAAAATTGAAGCTTTAAGAGGATGAAGTTCTCTGGATGAAAGACAAGCATCCATAGTCAAGTAATTGATAATTTTTGCTGTAGCACCAATAGTAATTTGTGGACTGAACCAGTTTGAATTGTTCATGCAATTGCTAGTAAAATTAGAAGGAGTTGCCTCTGGGATGCAGAGCCTGAGATATCTATTTACTGATAGCAAGTTGTTGCTTGATGCTAAATATCCATATGTAGGGAAGTATCGGCACTGGCTTATTGTATATGAAGATCTAGCCAGGAATCCCAATAGTTTCATTGCCATCTTTTCATTGAGACCTAAATAAGAGAATTACAGAAAATTACTTTTCTAAAAAGGAAAAATATATAAGTTTACAAAAGAGGTTTGCAGAGCATCTTACAAAAAATAATTATTACAGCCCATGTTGTGTTTGTAATCTCAGTTTTAAAGAAACCAGCGAGAGAGAGAAACATCCACCCTTTAGGGTAAGGCAGACCTACGGATACAGAGATTCCAGGAATACTGTTTTATTATAGTAGAGTGTAACGAGAACATCTTGAAACCTCTCCAAGTTTCTCTTTGTCCCTTCTTACACTATTAGCGTTCTAGGTGGGGTTTCTGAGTTTCTTTTTCATATTTGCTTCTGCTGTATGTAACTGCTTCTCCATGCCTTTTCTTAAAGATCTTATTATATTAAGATCACTTCTAAATTCCTTTGGAATAACAATTTCTGTGTTAACCACCATAGGAATTTTAATGACCAATTAAGTATCTAGTAATTCACAGACTGAATAACATCTATCAAGGAAGAGATTTATTTTCCCTGTATCAAACATACTTCTTTGGGATGGCCACTAAAAGTGCTTGTGCATGCACACATACATATGGGCAAAATCTTTCAAACAACCAGGATGAGCCTACCAGATAACATGGTTGCTTTAATGCTTTAAAGAGGGGTATTTAGCTTGTTTCAATGCACTTTGTGAAACCCCCTTTCAAATGCTTCGCACACCCTACTCACTCTGCTATTCTAAACAAGTTGGAATATATTCTTACATCTCAGGTTCTCAAAACAATGCGTAACATAGAAAACATGGAGGGAAGAGCCGCCAGATCTCAAAATATTTGGGAACTTGCTTGGCAAAACAAAATTTAACATCGCAATTAGATCTGTCTCAAATTAAGGAATAGTTTTGATTTGAAATCTGAAGAGATAAAGGGAAGATAAAAAAAAATTCTAGAGACCGAAACAATGTTACAAAAAAGTCTTGCACTTCTAAGACCTACTATAGACATTCTTTTCTACAGAGGAGCCAGTGTTCTTTAAATAAATGCACGTGTATGTGCACATGTAAGGTGCAAATGAGTTCTCTGCTTTGTAGGCGACTGGACACATTGAACATGCCAGAATAAAGAACAACCTCAAATGATAAGAATCTGAAAATGCGACAGATAATGAAATTTTGTTCCTACTAAAATTATTTCCAGTATTCTAGATACGGTTGCACACTTGCATGCAAAAGTTTAGATAAAGGTAAAGGTTCCCCTCGCACATATATGCTAGTCGTTCCTGACTCTAGGGGGCGGTGCTCATCTCTGTTTCAAAACCAAAGAGCCAGCACTGTCTGAAGATGTCTCCGTGGTCATGTGACCAGCATGACTAAACGCCAAAGGTGCACGGAATGCTGTTACCTTCCCACCAAAGGTGGTCTCTATTTTTCTACTTGCATTTTTTACGTGCTTTTGAACTGCTAGGTTGGCAGAAGCTGGGACAAGTAACGGGAACTCACCCCATTACGCGGCACTAGGGATTTGAACTGCCGATTTTTCGATCGACAAGCTCAGCGTCTTAGCCACTGAGCTGCCATGTCCCAACAGATAACCCTGCTCAAACTGTCTCTTTCAGTGAGTGAATGAAAAAAAAGATGACACAATCTCTACCCTGGACAAACTTGATTGATGCATATTTACTATTTCTGCACAGTGTACATAGAAGGTGCGAACATTTAAAAAATTAATTAAATAAATAAATAATAACATTTGGCTATTTTCAGCCAATATTATGCAATGCTTACTTTAGCAGAAATAACAGATTCCAAGTGTTTGCCGTGGCTAAGTCTTTTTATTTTTGTTTTTGAAAATGTTCTCTACTCTTAAATAACTAATCTAGCTCAGAAATATTCTCAAGATCTCCTTGCATGCACTGTATATTGAAATCTTCCTTAAGATTTGCAACAATATATACAATTGCACAACTAGAAATACAAAGACTACTCCAAAATTTTTATCTTTCTTTTTTATAAGTACTTCATGGTTGATTTGGATGTCAAAATCTTTGTATCTGTCAAATTCTGCTCTCTTATTTTGAATCTCCTTTGGGATGGAAGTCCAGAGTTTAGGAACAGTGACTGAAAAGCCTCTGCAGTTTCAATGAAATAGATCTCAGATGCTGGCAGAAAAGAGTATAAGGCTTTTAAAAATTCAGATATGCTGATAGAGAGGAATGCAATCTTTCAGATAACTTGGACCAAAGTCATATCAAATTTTTAAGCACACTGTGAACTATCTACAAGTAGTTCCCAACTTGAACCCACAGTTTTGATCGTAAGTCATATTGATTGTAAAGCAGGGTGGATAAAAAATGGTTTTTTTAAAAAAAAATTAAAAATTTATTTTTTAAAATTGAAATCACATTATTATCACATTTATTTTAATAAAATGCTTTTGGAGTAAAAATCTATCTAAAGATAGTTTTCTATTTAAGATACATTAATAATTTAGTTTATTCAGCATGAAATGGAGTTTAGTTATGTAGAATGAGGCTGTATATTCTGCAATACTGGGACAGTCGGTGAATCAGAGGAAAAGCCACTGCGGGACAGAGATGACAGTTGCTCTTTAAAAATTATGATTTAAATCAGGGGTGTCAAACTCGATTTCATTGAGGGCCGCATCAGGGTTGTGTTTGACCTCGGGGGGTGGGGTGGGCATGGCCAGCTCAACATCACTCATGTTGGGGGTGCCTGTGGTGGCCCAAGCGCTCTGCCAGTGAAAACAGGCTCCCGAGCTCCGTTTTTGGCTCTGACGGCCTCCTGCAACCCTCTGCCAATGAAAACAGAGCTCAGGAAGGCCACATGGCAGAGGGTTGCAGGAGGCCGTGGTAGCTGAAAATGGAGCTCGGGAGCCTGTTTTCACTGGCAAAAGCACGGTGGGCCAGCCCTTCACTATTTCCAGGGCGGCCCCGCAGGCCAGATCTAAGCATCCCATGGACCAGATCCGGCCTCCGGGCCTTGAGTTTGACACCCTTGATTTAAATCGAGTTGATTTAAATCAGGGGGGATTTGATTTAAATCGAGTCGATTTAAATCATAATTTTTAAAGAGCAACTGTCATCTCTGCTACTCCTTTGACCTGCTGTTGACTCACCGATAGCCCCAGTGTTGCAGAATATACAGCCTTGTGCTACATAACTAAGCTTCATTTCATGCTGAATAAACTAAATTATTTATGTATCTTAAATAGAAAACTATCTTACAATAGATTTTTATACCAAAAGTTTTTTATTAAAATAAATTCAATAAAAATAAAAAATCTCATTTAAATAAAAAAATCCGATTTAAATCAAAAAAATCCGATTTAAATAAAAAATCCGATTTTTTTGTTTTTTAAAAAAAATCATTGATTTTTATCCACCCTGATTTAAATCAAGCCTTTTTACTAGTGATTTAAATCATTTAAATCATGATTTAAATCAACTTGATTTAAATAAAATCCACCCTGTTGTAAAGCGGGCCACCATGTAACCGCACCTGATTTTACCTTTTTTGCAGTGGTCGTTAAGCAAAAGCTGTAGTCATAAAGCAAATGCTGCTGTCATTAAATGACTCTATTGTTCTATATGGAGTCATTTTTGCCAGAAACTAGAAATAAGCAAGTTTCTAGTGAAAGCGGTGTAAATCATAATCACAAGACGATGGGGAACTGCAAAAATGTTTAAAAAATCTGCTTAGAAAATGCCCGTTTCTTCCAAATGTAGATTAAACATGTCTATTCAAATATACACGTGGCAAACAATATAAGGTATAATATATAATATAATTATAATATACTGTAAATATAAAAGCATGTATAGGAGTGCTAATGATAAAATAATACAAAGTTATAATATAAAGTTATATAAAATATAAATATAAAAACATTTATAGGAGTGCTAACAATATACAGAAAAGTAACATTGGAATGAATCTTTTAAATGTTAGTACCAAGGAAAGAAGTTATGAAAATGAAACCACACATTTTTGAGAATGTTAAAAAAATCATTTTTTAAAAACATAATATATATACATGATTTAGCTGGCAAAATTTTTAAATAAACCATTATGTAACTTGTTTTGGGCATAAAAGCTGTATAAAGGAATAGTAATAGCATTCTTCCAAAGGGAATAGTAGGAAGACTGGATGCAAAAACTATAGACAAAATTGTTAAGTAAGGCTGGAAAGTACCGTATTTTTCAGAGTATAAAACGCACCTTTTTCCCCCTAAAAGAGGCTGAAAATTTGGGTGCATCTTATACTCCGAATGTAGCTTTTTCCGAAGCTTTTTTTCAGCCCTAACGAGGCGCTAGCGAGTGATCTTCCCAGCTTTGCCTGCTCCCTCGACTCTCTGCTGTGCTTTAAGGAGGCGCTAGTGATCTCCATGCTTTGCTCTGACTCAGCTGTTCTTTAGAAACTAGGTGCTAGCAGAGTGAAGCGATCTCCCTGTGCTTTGCCTGATTTTCTCATTGCTGCTTCCTCTCAGCTGTGCCTTAGCAGCTGTTTTTTATCCCCAAGCAGGGGATAAAAAACCAGCAAAATGTCCTGAAGCTGACCAGACTAAGGACACTAGCCAGATGAATACCTGGTAGGCAGATTTTATTTTCCTATTTTCCTCCCCAAAAACTAAGGTGCGTCTTATACTCCGAAAAATACAGTAATACTTGTAGAATTCCAAATGAAAGGGTACAGGAAAATGAGCAACATTTCAAGAACAGTCTGGGGATGCAGACCATAATTTTGCTCCTCAGTAGGTTAATGAGAAAACAAGTTTACTATATATTTACTGTTTTAAAGACAACATAGCCAAGTGACTAATCTTGAACTGTGAAATATTTTGCACAAATGTCCCCAAATGTAAATTGCTAAATTGGGTAAGATATACAATTCATTCATTTATTCGTAATGCCTCATCTCACCTGAATAACTCACAACAAATAAAAAATCAAGACTCAAATAAAAACTAGTTAAAAACAAATATACAAGCATATAAAGGCATTAATAATCACTTAAAAAATAATCATGGTGAGTAGCAATCCATCCTTGTGTCAGCTCAACACAGGCACGGTAAACATTCCCCACCATTGCTGGAATACTAAGCATGGTGGCAAAGTCAATATCTTCATGGCCTTCCTGAAGGCTGGGCCAATCTAAGTTTTGGGAGAATGTTGCTCCAAAGGACAGGTGCCACAGCAGAAATGCCTTTGGTCCTACTCCTGCTAGATGATACTCTTTCATAGATGGGATCTATACCATGTTTCTCCTGTCAACCCTAGGTAGATGGTTCGATATAACCAGGAAGAGGCAGTCCCTCAAATGAGGAAGTAAAGCATGCATAAGAATAAATAGAATGCCTAGTAAATATTTTCTCACTGAGCAGAGTATAAGACAGAGAAATGTGTCTTTTTTGTTGTTGTTTTTTTAAATATATATAGTAAAAGGAATGCTTGAAGCCAGAAGTGTGTTAATGGGGACATCTTTGAATATGCACCTTTCCACATAGATGATGCCATGTTGTTGTCTGAAAACCTGTGTTACACAAACAGCAAAATCTTATAATAGGTTTAGGTTAAAAGTTGCTGCATCTTTTTGAAGTTAAATGCCGATACTGTTATACCTTAATTCAAGGGGATCCATTCCCTTTAACCCATGTTCAGGACCAACATGACCCAAAATATTTTCTTGTATAAAAATTTAACCTCTTTGCCCTATAATACTTGTCCATATATTGAGATTTGTCAAATTTATTTATCTTGTTGATCCTGAGTATGGTACAAAAAGAATTTCAAAGAAAGTTATCTCATAAACCAAAGCTTTCAATCTCCTATTTTGAAAATCCATTTTGCATTTTTCTTCATATCTTTAAAGCACTCCACTTCATCAGTATTTTCTTGACTTATCTGCAGTCTTCAGTTATGACAGTTAGTTCTTCATGTGGACTACATACCCATAACAAACCCAACTATCCATTTCTCTAATGAGTACTTGGAGCAAAGTAGTAATATTTGGATTATCTGGATCTGTGGTATTCTGGATTCAGGCCTGGACATAGAATGGAAACAGCACTGGTTGTACTCACAGTTAACTTTTGTAGGACGTGTAGGGAGGAGCGTGACCGTCCTTGTATTGCTGGACCTCACAGCAGCCTTCAATCCCGTTACCCATGCTTATTCTTTAGTTGTTTTCTTTCTTTCCTGAGTGGGGCCAATCAGTGGTTGTAGGGAAAGAGAGGCTGGACTCTTGGTCTCTGTTATAAAACAGAGTTTTATTCTTTATCCTATCCTGCTTAATATAGACATGAAACTTCTGAGGAAGCTAATAATTAATTTCATGGCAAGAGATAATCAATAGGTAGATGAAGCCTGTTATGTATCTCCACCTCCAACCCAATGGGAGATGTGCCAGATGTCTGGATGGGAAAATATGCTTAGACTCAACTCAAGGAAGATGAATGCCCTTTATTACATTTTGCATGGATGCCCTTTATTACATTTTGCATGGATTATCATAACTGACTGGAGCTGCCCTTAAAGACAGCTCAGAAACTTCACCTACTATAAAGACAGTACCTATGTGCTTATTAGGCAATCACATTACCACCGTAGCATATTACATCATTGCTGTGAAGCTACTAATTATTGGTACATTTCTGGATGTAATTCAATGTGCTGATTGCTACTTTTGCAATTTCACTAATGCATTTCTGGGAGATGTCTATGGAGATTTGAAAAAGCAACTCTAGACATTTCTGGGAGATGCTGAAGATGGTGCCCACCCCCCAAAGGATAGCTCCCAATGTCAAGGCCTTTTGGAAGTTTGTAAAAAGGTGAGTTTTCTAGAGGACTTTGGAAGTGTTAATATTATTGCCTGTAATATTATGACTACTACTTGCATTTGTTTTAATTAGTACATGTGCACAGCTACAGTCAAAACCAATGCAGTAGATGAATTGCACAAATGAATAAGTTAATTGAATTATTCTACATTTTATTAGATCTGACGATCTACTTTAAGAATCCATCTATGGTATTGGTGGTCCAATATTAGTGTTTTAACCTAATCTGCCACATGTTTTCATCAAAAATAGATCTACAGGAAAGTAAAGTAATATTTTACCCGCCTGCATTCTAAAACAATTTCAAGAATTGTTAAATGCAGATCCTATGGGAGTAACATAACCTACAAAACATAATGGGTTTTACTGTATTAATATAGCTACAACTAGTATACCAAACATCTTATCCTCTCTCAGAGCTCACATATGATGGGAAGCTTGATTAAGTCCCATCCAGACCGCTGCCCAAACCATCCAACTGGATTCTCATTTAGTTCACAGGCAAAGAATTTATAATCGTAATTTGATGTTCGAAACTGTATTTTCTCAGAATGCCTTGTCAACTGCAGGTAGAAACTGAATCCTCAAAACATCAGGACACCGGCTTGCCTATGAGCGATCTATAAAGCTTTGTTTCGTCCATCAGTTTGTGCTGACGACATAAATACCTCACGATTCTTGAATACCTCGCCGAAAGGTATTCAAAAGGGAGGCCCGATCCAACCCAACCTCGAAAACCTTTTTTTAAAAAATATATAGGCAGGTATTTTTATAGGAAGGAATAAACTTCGTAATGTTATTCTCTGAAATTTTGCGCGGACCCACTACCACACAGTGCCACTGACGTGATTACATCCGAAAATCGTCTTGAATAAAAATCTAAATCTCTTCCTTAATTCCAATCGTGAGGGGGAAAACAGCAGGGACCGTCTAAAAAAAATAATATATCCCCCCCCCGTCCATTTTAGTCATATTTTGATTCCAATAGAAAAACAGAAGCTAAGCAGCCCATCGGAAAAGGCGTCTCTCCTTCCTCACTACCTCCGTCAGGCCCTGACCTGGAGTGGCCCGCCCAGGTAGGAAGCTCCCCGGCTCCTGTAGGCTGAGGTGGCCGCAGCCAGGTTCAAGGGAGAGAGAGAAAGATATATCAAACGTCCGGGCTCGAGCTCCGTTACCTGAAACCCGCTCGCGCCTCTTAAGAGCGGCAAAACGCCACACCGATTTCAGCCCCGTTCGCCACGTGATGGCTTCGTCCAATCATGTTCTCCGCCTCGCCTCTCTTTGGATCCACCCCTCTTCCCCCCCCCACCCCCACCCAAGAGCGCGGAAGAAAAGCTCGCGCCTCGCCGTCAGGTGACCTCACGTGGCTTTCTGCCTGGCTTCCTCTCCCCGCCCCACCGGCCCGACTCGCCCGCAGCCTTCCCGTGCCTCTCCTTTTTGACCAATAAGCGCAGCAAGCCAACCGACCAATAGGAAGGAGAGTTGGCTCGGAAGTTGCGCAGCCGCACTCGGCGGGGCTGAGGTCATAATGATTAAAATGGCGACGCCGCAGTTGGTGGGGTTACCGGCTTCTCTTACGGGCAAGATCAAGGGGTGCGTTTCTTTCCCTCGCCGGCTCCTTGTAGCTTGGAAACGGGAAGAGGAGGAGTGGGGGGGGGGGGAGGAATAAAGCGTCGGGATTGAGAAGGTTGAAATTGTGGAGTGTCACAACACGAGGAGTTTCTACCCGAGTGTTTCTGGAAATCCTCTTTCCTGCTCTGCTTTGGGGCTGCTTGTTTGGATTGCGAAAACGCTCAGGATTTTTTGGGGGGAATTGCAATCCCAAAACGTTGGGAAGGCATCAGGTTGCAGAAGACTGCGCCAGTTTGCTTATTGCTATTTTCGGCTAGATGCCGGTGGCATGGCTTGATTTACCCATGCTTAATTGAACCATGGTGTGTTCAGTGTTCAATTTTTGTGAGTTTGCACGAGGCACTAAACCATAAATGAAACCCAGCAGTTTGGGCCAATGCTACAAATACCTGCCTTAATTTAAAAGTGGCCACGTATAAATTAATCAGCTGTGCTTATGTTCTTCATTAAATTAAATTGGTGTTAAAATTAAGTAAATGTCACTAGTGATCTTTTGCAGAAATTATAAAAATGCCATAGCTTGGTCTGTATAATGATCCCAATGTTATATTTGTATTTATTGAAAATGTATCAGGAATTTCATTATTCCAGTCAGCAGGTTCATTCCCAAGAATTGCTTTGGTGTAATAAGTAAATGTGCAGGGCTAGAAACACACACTTATAATCCTATCATAGGCGCGAAACCAACTGGGGGACTTTGGGAAAATCACTCTGAAAACCTTGCTGAGAAAATTGCAGAGACATATATATATATGACCTGTTCAGACTGAACAAGATATATAGTGTATAACAAGCACATTAAAAAAATAGGGTAGTTATTTTTTTATTTTGAATGTTTGGACCCTTGAAGGGCCTAAAAGTAGTGTACAGTTTAAGTCATAGTATCAGAGCCCTCCAGCTTTATTAGGCACCCTTATTTTTAAAACTGGAAGGCTCTGGCACCCTGAATAATTGGTTAAACTTAAATTTTACACTAATTTCAAGCTTTTCAGGGGCCCAAACTTTAAAAATAAAATTCACATTCTAATTTATGTTGAATATTTGGTAATATTCAAGCTATTTACAAGCCTGAAATGTTGTTTTTTTATAGATCTTTTGCATATAATACAATTAAAGACAGGCTGCCTCTTATCCTGACTCGTGTTATTGATACTTTACATCGACATAAACATGAGTTCTTTGAAGAACATGGAGAAGTAAGAAAAGTGACCCTTTCTGTTTTATTATTGCATGAATACAACTGTTGACTGTGCTTACTGCTTTCTATAGTTAGTTCTGCATAACTTAGACATACATTTTCCTGTTTCAAATGATAAAGATGTATACTGGATTAGCCAAGGTTTCTCTTGCTGAGCATCATCTCATTTATGTTTCAAATCTTTTAAAGTCTTCTAAACTAATCAACTCATAGAATCTTGTAGTAGGCCATTGTGCATGAACAGGTAAGTGCCTTTTATGATCTATAATGGTTGCTAATTAATTTAATTAAATGAACATGAACGCTAGTATCATTAGAAGAGGAAAATGTTTTTTGTTCAGTGAATGCTGAACAGTGCTATTATTTTAGAATAATAATTTAAAAGTAGGAAATATAAATTAAAATAAATTACCTTACTGGGTTATGCCCCCTGCCAGCTTTTTCAAATTAAAAAAAAAAAGATTCAGATGCCTCTTTTCCTAGGAAAGATGTTTAGCTCCCATGTATTTTAGTCATTCCTTCATATATGATTCTCAGTAGGTTACGTACCATATATCCCAGAATTTGTTCTTGCTTAATGATCAGCACTTTATAAACTATTGTAGAATGTAGAGGTTGGAAGGAATATTTGAAATAATTTGGTCCAACCTATCTGGCAGTTATCCACTAATGCAGTATCTTCAAGAGGTCACCAGAGGCTGATTTTTGGTCAGTCACTCAGTTTCAAGAACCTCTTGAAGCTTGGTGAACTTTTAGGTAGGTGTTTGCTATCCCCCAACTTTGTCATTTGCAAATGTCATAATCCTATTTTCTTATCCCTCATCCATCCAGATCAGATATATATATTAGTGCAAAATTACTGCTGACATAAGCCTGATGATGGCAGATGGGATTCTGTCGAAACGTCGCTTCTACCCTTTTAGGGATATATCCACAATTACACGGGAAGAAACCCGAAATATTAACTATACACACATACATACCCGTGAAAACTTACATAAACAAATATATATATATATGTAGATCTTTAGTTATTCGGGTTTTCTCCCGCGTAAAATTGGAAGTGTCTTGGCGACGTTTCGATGAAGTCTCATTCGTCATCTTCAGGCTGGTGTTTTCGGCTTCGTGCTTCTAGGAGCACGAAGCCAAAAACACCAGCCTGAAGATGACGAATGAGACTTCGTCGAAACGTCACCAAGACACTTCCAATTTTACGCAAGAGAAAACCCGAATAACCAAAGACCTACATACAAACACCCGTAAAAACCTCAGAAAACATATATATATATATATAAAATATAAAACATATATACATATATATATGGAAGATTTTAAGCTAGGATTTTAACCAGAATTTTAAACATTTTAACTAACTTATTTAACATGATGCGGGAAAACACCCGAGATTTTAATTTTTTGCATATATATATATATGTAGGTCTTTGGTTATTCGGGTTTTCTCCTGTGTAAAATTGGAAGTGTCTTGGCGACGTTTCGACGAAGTCTCATTCGTCATCTTCAGGCTGGTGTTTTCGGCTTCGTGCTTCTAGGAACAATGTGTGATTGCAGCTGTTTCTTCCTTTTAACTGCCAGTGGGGGTGTGTTCTGATTGGTTGGGGGTTTGGCTGTGCTCTGATTGGATGGGGGGTTGGCTGTGCTCTGATTGGATGGGGGGTGTTCTGTTTAGGTGGGGGCTTGGTTGTGCTCGGGTTAGTCTGAGTTGCAGGGGGATTTGAGCTGGTGAGCTGCGTTGCTGTTGTTTGGCTTCGCACAGCACATGAAAGATACATTTTAATTTACCATTGTCTTATTGTTTGCCACTGCTCTACTCTTGCATTCAGTTTATGTAAACATTAAGAATAAAGAACCCTCTTTTAAAATCTTATCCCACTTTTATTTTCCTCGAGGCCATATTTATTCACTTGCTTCCATGTTCAGCATAACACAAATATTCATTTGGTTATTAGTTTAATTCATTATGGTCACTCAAATGGTTGCCATACTGAGCTTTGGGTCTGGATATTTTTGAGTCTCAATACCAATATTTTCAATATGCTTAAAACATATTAAATATACTTTATTGCAGTGTAAATTTAGTAAGCATAAACACTTGAATTAGAAACATTTTCACTTTATTTTAGAAAGGCATTGAAGCAGAAAAGAAAGCTATAGGCTATCTTTCCAAGTTGCGGAATGAGTTGCAGACAGACAAGCCGCTGATTGCATTGAATGATAATCTCCCTGATACCCCTCTGTGGAACCAGTACTTAGAATATCATAAAAATGTATCAAATGAACCACCAAGCTGGTTTCAATCTCCTTGGTTGTATACAGAGTGTTACTTGTATCGTAGAATTCATGAAGCTGTTATTCAGAGGTAAGCTTGTATGATCTTGTCTCTTTTTGTTTAAATATTTGAGGAAAAAGATACATAAAAATTACCTTCAAGTCAAGCTTGATCCATGCAATTCCCTCAGCCACATTTCAAAAAGTGCTTGCCTTCCTCCCCCCCCCCCCCAAGGCTATCTGATTTTCCATTCCAGAGAACAGCTCTAAAATTCCAGTACTAACTGGGTTCAACTTGTTTTAGCTTTTGAGATCATTCAGGGTTCTATTAAATACAGGGGACTAATAAGTATCATTAATCTTAGTAATGGCTTGCTACAAATATTGAAGTACTCTCTTCGATTTGTACAGACTGGTAAAATTAAGCAGATTTGATGTGGTTTCACTCTTGTCTGAAATGAGCCTCTGAGTTCCATCAAATCCACATCCTATCATGGTGAGCTTGAACATGGATTCAAATTCACCATTCATTGAGACTGAACTAGAGAAGGATTTTGTCATAAAACTAACCTGTTCAAAACTGCAATATCATTCAGGATTGCATGTGAAGTAATTCTGTTTGGTAGTTCAAGTTAAAATAGAAATAATAATGAATTTTCTCTCTTGCTTATTCACTCATGCAAAGATGCTGTGTAGCCCTGTTCCATGTTCTCTTCTATGTTAGAATACAATGGTTGATCAGTAGAGTAACATGAGTTTATATATGCCTTTTTGAGAAATATATCTTTTAATTAAGCATTCCTTTAATTATTTTAGCAGATGAAAACTGATAAGGAACAGCAGCAACATTAAGAAGTGGGGAGAATTAAAATTATTTTAACTTGTTTAAGTTAAAAAGATGTATGTCCATATGTATGTATTAATGAGGGGGAAAATTAAGAATAAGTTAAGCCATTGGCAAATCCATTTCCACCTTATTATGATCAAATGAAAGATCTTTTGTCAAACATGGAACAAAACAATATACGCTCCCAGTATGGATTGTTATTGAAAAATAATACTAGGTATAATTGAACATGTTAATATAATCTCATGCTGTGCATTTCTAACAAGATTCATTTAGTCAAAAGTAGTTAATATGATGTTCAATGTGTCTGAAGG